CAGTTAATTGGAGCCAGGTTTACTGCTTAATTCAACGGTCAAACTGGAGAGGTGCATCAGCCAGCGCCCCGGGCTCTCCCAACCCCCCGTAAGCACTACGGCACATACGCTTGTTTTAATGAGCGCCATGCCCTAAGGATACGGAGGGCTACTATAATCAATAGCTAAAGAAAATAAGTGGTGTCCTTCAGCCGCATCGGAAGTATTATACAGTTTGACGCCCCAAGTCTCTCGATTATGATGATGTTATAAAACAAGTTGTAGATATGCCCTTTGGGTCAATAACTTAGCCATCCTAAGTATTAAATATACAGAAGCAGCTCAAATGCCAAGCATGCTGTAGCACACAAATTGTACTTGTGTCCAGAGTAGGGACTCTAGGATGTCGCTGAGCCCACCCTGCACTGATGGGTACCTGACTCAAAGGTACCTGACTCAAAGGTACCTGACTCCAACCCATGCAACGATGATGGTACCTGACTCTTGTCCACCCAGCTCTGATGGGTACCTGACTCTAGTCCACCCAGCTTTGTTGGTACCTGACTCTAGTCCACCCAGCTCTGATGGGTACCTGACTCTTGTCCACCCAGCTCTGATGGGTACCTGACTCTAGTCCACCCAGCTATGATGGTACCTGACTCTAGTCCACCCAGCTATGATGGTACCTGACTCTAGTCCACCCAGCTCTAATGGGTACCTTACTCTTGATAGTGTTGTCTTTGTTTCTAAATCGAAACCAAAACCAAATCACCACCTCAACTTTAAATTTTACCGGAAACGAACAATGTCATTGAAAACGGATATTTATCCAGAATCGGCATTTCAATTGGTTTGATACTAGATCTATTTGATACAATGTGGTGACACTTTAGTAGGTATTTCGATAGAGTGGTCTGTGATAATTTGGCGGGTATATTAAAGCAGTGTGGTGACATATTGGTGGGTTAAGTGATACAGTAGGTTGTGACACATGAGTTGGTATATTGATATTTTCTAATGACACAATAGTGGGTATATTGATACACTGTGGTGACACATGGGTATATTGATACACTGTGGTGACACATGTGTATATTGATACACTGTGGTGACACATGGGTATATTGATACACTGTGGTGACACATGTGTATATTGATACACTTTTCTTGTCACATTGTACCATTATATGACACCGCAACCGTTTTATACTGGTACTTACAGAGCACTAATTCATACTGTCCATGGTCCAGATAAAGTAGAGTTCACCTGAAGGGATGTGTGGTCAGTACGATGCATATCAGCAGTTACCTTCCCCAACGTCAGCCAAGTACCCATCAGAGCTGAGTAGACTCTGGGACATCCTACCTACTTGAGCCCAGGATACGAACTCGAGACTTACTTATTGTCAGTCAATCGCTGTGCCATTCGTTCCATGTGACTATCGATACGAGCATCGTATATATGCACTTTAATGCTTTAACAGCTTTATATTATGCATATTTAGAAAATTGTCAATGATTATATTAAAAATTAATAATCTATAGTATGCAACCAACGTTTTCCGTGTATTAGTCCAACGATTTTAGAATCATAATACATTTCAATATATGTTTAAATTGAGAGCTGATGGAAGAGATTATCCTAAAATTATTTATCCCAGGGTAAGTTGTCAGTTATTCAATTTTATCCCATGTTAAGTTGTCAGTCACTTGGTTTATTTCACATGTTAAGGTAAATGTTCTTTAATCCAATGGTTAGTTTAGTAGTTTTTTAGTCAGTTCTTTAAAAACGAACAGTGTATCGGTCATTAAAATTAATCGAAACAAAACTAGAAACAGTGACAAAAATATTTTAATTTTTTTTATTATACTCTTTTCTGTTTACCGAATCATAATGGCTATTTTTAAATTTTAGCTCTCCATTTCAGGATAAGAAGATCAACAAGTTTTATGAAGACATCATTGGCAAGATTTTCTAAACAAGCCTGGGTAGCTGCGTTTTATCACACATCTTCTTCTGGATAAGTGGCTCACGTTTTAATTAATTATCTCATAACTAATCTCACATTTTTAATTGGATGTACTCTGTTGATAAGTGATATCCAAACTCTATGTAAATAGCCACTTGCACATAATGTTAACATAGCACAGGTAATCAGTAAATTATTGTAGATTTAAACTATTTGCAATCATGATTTTACAACTACTTTTGTGAACAAATGTAACACTTATTTTATATGTTTGATATTACTAGACCAGTGGCGTCGCGAGATCGGGTGTCACCCAGTGCGGCACTTAATGGTGTCACCCCCCCCCCCCCAGAGGCGTAGCGATCCTTCCCGGGGACAAACTTTCAAGTTTTCGATTTGCACCCCCGTCAAACTTTCGATTTGCACCCCCCCCCCCCCTCAAACTTTCCATTTGCGCCCCCCCCCCCTCAAGTTTTTCTCTATATATTTTGCTATTTTTTGCCTTGGTGTCACCCCCCTAAATGGTGTCACCCGGTGCATTCCGCACCCCCGCCCCCCCCCCTCGCTACGCCCCTGTACTAGACTACACGTTATTCTTGAATAACAGTGTGTTTCGAGGGTCATCAATAAATGACGTCATGTTTATTTGACGATTTTTATCTTTCCCTTCCCACTGTCACTTATCTTAACAAAAAGTCAGACCCCACATTCAAAAAGTGGCCACACCTCAGGTAACATGTTATTGTTTTTTAAAAATACCTGTTTCGGCTAAGCATGGGTCTAAACACCCTACTTTTTACATGCTGATAATACAGAAAGTGGTAAACTCTACTTTACCTGCCCAAGTTGGGATAGGAATCTTTATCATTTATATATTTAAAAAAATACTGAAAAAAAATGTAACATTGACATGCTGTCTCTCAAACCCATACCACCCGCATGGTAACTATTACACTATCAACTCAGCTATCTGGGTACTTTCGATTACGTGTAAAATTAGTTGGGTAGTTTACTTAGAGAGTCCGCGTAAGAAACTTGAGTTACGGACTAAAATAGTTCAATAAAGAGGTTCAATATGGATTGTATTTTTGTTGTGTATTGCTTATTGTTGTATGTTTTTCTTTTTAGCTGATTATTTTTGTTTTGGCCTTAAAATTCGTTTTTCGGTATAAGTTGCGATTATTCCTATACGTTTTAAGGGACTACTATTAAGTCCCTGTATTTTTCTGTAAAACTTTTTTTGGTTTGGCCTTAACATCAAATGACGTCACAAAGCCGGTGAAAGTTAAAGTTTTTGAGAAAAAATCTGCTTGTTTTAAATTCTATAATTCAAGAGGTATTTCTACCAATGAATATATCGATACATTAATTAACGTCTTTAAATGAATTTGTGATTAACAGTTTGGTAAAAAAGAACATCATTTTCTACCTAAATACGTATTTTACTGCTCTCTTCATAGTGCAGATTCTCTCATGTAACCAAATAGACAAACAAAAAAATAAATATACAAACTAGTAAACAAACTTGAGTTGTAGTAGTATACTAGACTACCCGTTATGTAGTTAGATAACTGTGGGTTTCGGGGGGGGGGGGGGGAGGTCATCCATAAATGACATCACGTCTGTCACTTTTCTGCGCCCGGGGACAAAATTTTCGATTTGAACCCCCCCGCCCCCGCCCCCTCCCCGGCAAGATTTCGATATGCACCCCCCTCAAAACTTTCGATGTGCACCCCCCCCCCACCCCCTCAAGGTTTCGATTTGCACCCCCCCCCCTCAAACTTTCGATTTATTTTTCCAACCCATTTTGGCGCCCCCTAAGGTCGGTGCCCGGGGACATATGTCCCCTTCGCCCCCACCCCCCTCGCTACGCTACTGCAGTGTCACTTATCGTCACAAAAAAACAGACCCCACATTCAAACATGTTTTTTATCATATAAAAACACCGAAAACAACGATTTCGGACTATCCCTTCATATGCTGACGTCACAGGTGACTTACTCAACCCTACTTCACCTGCCCAGTGTCCCACCAAGTCTCAGACAACATGTTTTTATCGTTTAAAAAAACCATTCCAGCCGAGCATGTCTCTGACCACACTATCCCTTCATATGCTTAGGACAAACAAACAGGTGCACTCTACTTCACCTGCCCTGTGCCCCGCGAGGTCCTGATAGTGAACCTTGTCATTCACATGTAGGCCTTAGGAAAAATAATTGAAAACGTTGTATAAAGAAAATATATTATTTAACTAATACTAAAGTCATAGTTCTAAACTTTTATATAAATTGTGGTTAATCTACCCATGAATATATCTAAAAATTAATTAACGGCTTTAAATAAGTTTGTAATTAACAATGTGTTTAAGAAGGAACAATATTTACCACACAAAATACCATTTAACAAATCAGAAAAACAAACAAACAAAAAATGAGTTATCAAACATCACTATTAAGTCAAAGTTAAGCTATTGTTCTAAAACTTTAAAACAAATGTGGTTAATCTACGTATGAATAAATCAATAAATTAATTAACGTCTTTAAATAAATGTGTCTGTCTGCAATAAAAAATTATTCTCTACCTACATACTATTTTACAGCCCCCCATATAAAGCAGTTTCCTTACAGTAAGAAATCAGACAAACAAATAAATAGTCAAACATGTAAACAAAGTTGAGTTTTAGTAGTATTAGATAGATTTATTTCTTTTTTTTACATCTTATTATTTATATAAACAAATGGCGACGAGAATGTAGACTATATAATTGTTTAAAGAGTACGTATTTCATTTTTCAGGCTATTGTGTTGAACAGAGATTTAAAAAAAAAGTAACTGTTTTTTTTAAATTGAACGGTATATAAACAACTGAAAAATTTATATATATATATATATATATATATATATATATATATATATATATATATATATATATATATATATATATATATATATATATATTAATTACAATAAAATAATTTCGAATACGAATGTAAATGTTATAGAAAATACACTAACTGTACTACTTAATTTTTTTAAAAATTAACATGCATTTTCTGTAGATAAACTAGCAATAGCTACATAATTCGTCTTCTGCTAAATATGTTTTAGCACCTATTCGATGCATGAAGCTAATATGCTCTAATCAATTGCATAGTATTTTCTTTACATGCTTAACTTCTGTCTACTGCATGATACGTTAGATCAATATCATCATTGAATGCGGTTAATCGAATGGTTAAATTCTGGGTACCATGCAACACACGAACCTATGATAAAATATTGATTTTCTGTGAAGGACAGCTAGTTGATCATTTTTGTGTTGATCATATTAAAATGTAACCTGCACAGTGAATTTATTTTAATATAGACCCTTCTTTGAAATGGGATCTAAAGGTAAAGAAAGAAACTTAAATAGTACAGCCTGTATTAAATAAAGTGTTTACAGTTTAAAAAAAATTACAGACGCAAAACGATAAACGTTGTTAACCTAAGTAGCTGAAAAAAGTATACAAGTTTTTAATGTGTGAAATCTTTAACTATAAATTGTTATGCAGTGGTCTAATTGACGTTTAAATAAAATATCATTACTGGGTTTTTTTTCCCTTTCTACAATGATTTCTAAATTGTTTTAATACAGAGATTTCATTGCAATTGATTCCCTTGACCAAGTATACAATCAAATATGGGAAATAATTCACTCTAAATGCATTTGAAACTACTTATTGTTATTATTAGTAAATATTATTATACAAATCAAGAGTTTTTCTGACATTTTTCTCCGGTTGGTAACTTAAAATCACCGAGTAGAAGGGGTGCAATTATCAGCTTTTTAGTATTGTTTTCATCATTGTTATTGTTCTAGAACTGCTGGCCTCCATGTTATTGTTCTAGATCTGTTTACCTCCATACTATGGCTCCTGCGCTAACCCTCTGTTTAAGATCTCACCAAACCATCCCTAATCAGCTTTCAATAGTTGTCTCTTCATCTAGCTCATCTTGACATTGATAAATTGATTGCAAGTCAAAACTTAAAACAAATAGTTAAATGGACCCATTTTTTAAAAGGATAAATGAAAAACACAGATGCTAATGTGTACTACCTTGTTTTACCACCGATCTAAAAAAAAACATTCGTCAACTGGTCAACCCGGTGAACTCTCCTGACCCCACCTTCACAACTTGACCGTTCAGTGTGACGTCACATGACACTGGACATCGCGTCATGACATCTTTTATTGCCAGCATGTACATCTCTACGTCACCACTCTTGTAGCTTTTCAAACACAGGGACAGGGTGTCCAGATTTTTGCACGCCTGCAAACTGTGGACACACAGGTAGGGTAGGAATAACAGCATTACATCCATTGATGGTACACAGGTAGGGTAGAAATCGTAAACATTACATCAATTTATGATACACAGGTAGGGTAGAAATAACAGCATTACATCCATTGATGATACACAGGTAGGGTAGAAATAACAGCATTACATCAATTTATGATAAACAGGTAGGGTAGAAATAACAGCATTACATCCATTGATGATACACAGGTAGGGTAGAAATAACAGCATTACATCCATTGATGATACACAGGTAGGGTAGAAATCACAACATTACATCCATTGATGACACACAGGTAGGGTAGAAATAACAGCATTACATCAATTTATGATACACAGGTAGGGTTGAAATATCAACATTACATCCATTGATGACACGCAGGTAGGGTAGAAATAACAGCATTACATCCATTGATGATACACAGGTAGGGTAGAAATAACAGCATTACATCCATTGATGATACACAGGTAGGGTAGAAATAACAGCATTACATCAAACAGGTAGGGTAGAAATAACAGCATTACATCCATTGATGATACACAGGTAGGGTAGAAATAAAAGCATTACATCCATTGATGATACGATACACAGGTAGGGTAGAAATAACAGCATTACATCAATTAATGATACACAGGTAGGGTAGAAATAACAGCATTACATCCATTAATGATACACAGGTAGGGTAGAAATACCAGCATTACATCCATGTATGATACACAGGTAGGGTAGAAATAACAGCATTACATCATTTTATGATACACAGGTAGGGTAGAAATATCAACATTACATCCATTGATGACACGCAGGTAGTTTAGAAATAACAGTATTACATCCATTGATGATACACAGGTAGGGTAGAAATAACAGCATTACATCCATTGATGATACACAGGGAGGGTAGAAATAACAGCATTACATCAAACAGGTAGGGTAGAAATAACAGCATTACATCCATTGATGATACACAGGTAGGGTAGAAATAACAGCATTACATCCATTGATGATACACAGGTAGGGTAGAAATAACAGCATCACATCCATTGATGATACACAGGTAGGGTAGAAATAACAACATTACATCCATTAATGATACACAGGTAGGGTAGAAATAACAGCATTACATCCATTAATGATACACAGGTAGGGTAGAAATACCAGCATTACATCCATTTATGATACACAGGTAGGGTAGAATTAACAGCATTACATCACACAGGTAGGGTAGAAATAACAGCATTACATCCATTGATGATACACAGGTAGGGTAGAAATAACAGCATTACATCCATTGATGATACACAGGTAGGGTAGAAATAACAGCATTACATCCATTGATGATACACAGGTAGGGTAGAAATAACAGCATTACATCCATTGATGACACACATCATAAAGGCACACCGTACTTAACAGTTGAGCATTGTGCTGACTACACCATATGCCGGGCTCAAGATACATACAAACTGTAGTTCATCGACCCTATAGCTCGTTAGGTCTAAAAGGGGGGCTTTACAACTTTATCTGTGAGTTGCAACATACCAACTCTCCCGCCACTTATCAGTGATAAGAAATAAAGAAATATAAAATTGGTTTTATTGATTTAGAAAACATCAAATATACAAAAAGATATATAATGATTATAATGTAGGCATATCATCTTGCTACAGCTTAGGCGATGTGTTTAACTACTTACAAATCAAACTCCTTACAAACAGGGCCGGCGCTACCTATAAGGCGAACTAGGCGGTCGCCTTGGGCGCTGGCCGTAAGGGGGCGCTAAAATGGGTTGGAAAAACAAATTGAAAGTTTGAAGGGGGGGGGGGGGTTGCAAATCGAAAGTTTGTCCCCGGGGACACAAAAAAATGCGTGGGGGGGTGCGCTTTTAATAAGTTTTGTCTCCGGCACTACTTACAACTCAAACAACTAATGTGGTTTAGCCAAAAAAATCTATTTTAAAAGCCTCAAAACACAGAAGAGCAAAGCTCACCTACCTTTTGAACACAAGCTCAAAGCGTTCCGTGTCAGGGCGGACACCCGTCTGTAGATGAAGGTGGTGTATGGTATTCTGTAAACACAGACCAATTATATGATTATAATCATGAGTTTTTGTATTCAAGATTCATAAGCGTCAACTAGCCCACCTGAAAGTTCTGTATCTACTTTTTGCACACTACCGGGTCCCTCTCATCCCTCTCACCTGAAAGTTCTGTGCCACATGTTGAAAGAACTTCTCTAAGTTCTCTTTAGCGATGGCGGCACCAGCTTTCCACTTGACTTGATAGAGTGGCATGGATGGTGTGAGTATCAATGTTGGGTCTTGGGAGTACGACTCCTGAATGGAATAAGGTTAAGATTACTTTGCAATTCTGTATAGAATTATGACTGATCCTCTTGGAAATAACACAATGTTACTCAGTGTAATAAATAAATAAAATAATAAATTCAACGTGAGCAGTTTGTTGAGCTACTGCAGTAAAAGCGGATGTATGCAGAGGCGTAGCTAGGGGGAGCGGGGGGGGGGGGGACATATGTGTTGGGTTGGAAAAACAAATTGAAAAGTTTGAGGGGGTGTTTGTAAATCAAACGTTAGGGGGAGGGGGTGCAAATCGAAAGTTTGTCCCCGCCCGCCGGGAAGGGTCGCTACGCCTCTGTATGTGTGTTAAAACTGTTAGCAGACAGACACAACTTTTAGGTTAATATCAAAAGTAAACTGATGTTAATATTTCCTGTCTTTCTTTTTTTTTAGTGTTTATTAAAAATTGTTATACTGAAGGTTTGTAAAATCTTGTTATACTGAAGGATTTTATGCATTTTTAAAACATCAGCTCACAAATTTGTGCTTGATGTGAAAAATCGCTTTTAGCTCAGGACAGGCCGCTGTAAGCTTCTCCCATGCTAGAGCGGTAATTTGACTTTCTAACTCTGGGATTTTGTCAGCTCGAACTGTGATCACCTTGAGGCTGGTTGATGTATTAGCCAGGCTGAGTAGCAGGTCATCTTCCAGATAACCATAGCTGAGGTCAAGGTCTGAAAGTCACAAGGCCTCTCGTTATGTGGCATATGGTAAACACACGAGAAGAACATACGAAACTAAATATTACGGTTATATAGAGTCAGTCTTTTGAGAACTAGGCGCTGTGTTGTCAAGGTCTTGTTAGAGTTAGGTGGTCAAGGTCTTGCAAGATATAGATGGTCAAGATCGAATCAGAGCTTAGTGGTTAAAATCTGTTCAGAGTTAAGATGTGTATTGTTAAGGTCTTGTTAGAGTTGCGTTGTAAGAGTCTGGTCTGAGTTAGTGAGTCAAGATCTTATCAGCATTGGGTGGTATTGTTAGAGTTGGATGGTCAAGGTACTTTTAAAACGGAATGAACTGCTACATTGAGAAGTGTTTGTCTACTCTCCAGACTAAATAGCGATTAATGAACACGAGATATAATCGGAGTTTACTTCCATGTACATTTATAAGCACCATCATAAGCCATCACACTTATTCATAGGAGAATAAAAGATTGATTATTCATTACACTAATAATAATAGTTATTTACTTAAAATGTGCAAGACTAGAAAAAAATATTAATTCATGTAACTATAAAAATGACGTAATTCATCCCACCTGATAACTTGCTGAAACCAGAGATGGCGTTTCGAAATTGCGGAAGATAGCTCATGCTATTATGGAAACTACTTTTCAAGCTAACGAGCCTGGCGATAGCAAGGGTATGTAGCGTGGTGCCGCAGTATTTGCCAGCTGCTATCAGCAATTTCATGCCTTGGGATATATAAATAAAGTTTCTACTTATTGTTTATTTATGTTAGACGATACATGAGCATGTGTTTGTTTTGATTATCTGATACATTAGCATGTATTTGTTTTGATTATCTGAAACATTAGCATGTATTTGTTTAGATTATCTGATACATTAGCATGTATTTGTTTTGATTATCTGATACATTAGCATGTATTTGTTTTGATTATCTGAAACAATAGCATGTTTTTGTTTTGATTATCTGATACATTAGCATGTATTTGTTTTGATTATCTGAAATATTAGCATGTTTTTGTTTTGATTATCTGATACATTAGCATGTATTTGTTTTGATTATCTGAAACATTAGCATGTATTTGTTTTGATTATCTGATACATTAGCAGTATAAAAATTTCACAAGTAATTGACCCCACTGAGCCACAATCGGGTCAACTTAAAGACAAACCTTGTTACATTTATGCAGTGGCGTAGCGAGGTCGGGTGTCACCCGGTGCGGCACTTAATGGTGTCACCCCCCCCCCCCCTCATATTTTCGATTTGCACCCCCCCCCCTCAAACTTTCAATTTGCACCCCCCCCCCCCCCTCAAGTTTTTCTCTATATTTTGCTATTTTTTGCATTGGTGTCACCCCAATAAGTTTCTACTTATTGTTTATTTATGTTAGACGATACATGAGCATGTGTTTGTTTTGATTATCTGATACATTAGCATGTATTTGTTTTGATTATCTGAAACATTAGCATGTATTTGTTTAGATTATCTGATACATTAGCATGTATTTGTTTTGATTATCTGATACATTAGCATGTATTTGTTTTGATTATCTGAAACATTAGCATGTTTTTGTTTTGATTATCTGATACATTAGCATGTATTTGTTTTGATTATCTGAAACATTAGCATGTTTTTGTTTTGATTATCTGATACATTAGCATGTATTTGTTTTGATTATCTGAAACATTAGCATGTATTTGTTTTGATTATCTGATACATTAGCAGTATAAAAATTTCACAAGTAATTGACCCCACTGAGCCACAATCGGGTCAACTTAAAGACAAACATTGTTACATTTATGCAGTGGCGTAGCGAGGTCGGGTGTCACCCGGTGCGGCACTTAATGGTGTCACCCCCCCCCTCATATTTTCGATTTGCACCCCCCCCCCCTCAAACTTTCAATTTGCACCCCCCCCCCTCAAGTTTTTCTCTATATTTTGCTATTTTTTGCATTGGTGTCACCCCCCTAAATGGTGTCACCCGGTGCGGTCCGCACCACACGCCCCCCCCCCCCTCGCTACGCCTCTGCATTTATGTAATTGAACTGTCTTGTAGACACCCAACGTCTCGCCGTCTATCCCGCCCCTCGTGTTGTTTCTATTGACACATCTCTCTAAGCCCAACATAAACGGTCTATAAATTGCTGTAAGCCCACCACTCAAGGCCCGATGTTAGACTGTCCTAACTAACCTTGCCTCACGGTAAGAATTTCCTTGAAACAGAACCTCACAGACTTTTCGCTATTGCTAAGGTCAAGGACACGAAGCTGTCGCTGGACTTTCAAGAATCTCTTCAGGAGTTTAGCGACCTCAGACAACGGCGTTGACCTTTCCCCACCGCAATACGTTTCCAAACTGTTCAGATTTTTCAGTCTGAAGGTCAACAGCTGGTGATTCTCTGAATTCAAAAGGCTGGCTAAAAACAGATACATCTTCTCTGAACAAGATGGGTGGTATTCCAATACTATTCAAAGCAAGAAAATTTACATGTGATTTACTCATGAAACTACACTAGTAATTTACTCATGAATGTACACAAGTAATTTACTCATGAAATTAGATATGTAATTTACTCATGAAATTACAAACGTAATTTACTCATGAAATTACACAATTAATTTACGCATTAAAGTACACGTGTAATTTACGCATGAAATTACACATGTAATATACTCTTAATATACATACACATACATTTTTACTATACTCTGTGTGACTTACCCAATTGAAGATTTTCAAGTTTTTTACATTCTACCTTAATATGACGTAATGTTTTGCCGGTGATGTCAACAAACCGGATGGCCTTTTCGTCGCTTTTACAGTCAAAAACAAAATCTCCGGACTGCCACAGGGACGGCACTGAGAGTGGACGGAGCCAGGACTTGCAGGTGAGGGCGGCGTGGTACTTGTCGCTGTTGCTAAGGTAACTGAAGACTTGCAGCAGAATCTCGTTCGGCAGCTGGCTCCAGTCAGGCTGAAATTGTATTAAACAAGTTGCCTGGTAGACACCAGAGGCGTAGCGACCTTGTAAATCAAGTGATATTTTAGAACAGCTTGTGGGTATAATAGACTCCCAACCTTTACTCTCCCTTTCATTGCACCTCTATATATTACTTCAACAACACCAATGAAATCTTGCTTGTGCTTGAAACTACCAATAAATTTGGTGTGATCAGGTGTTCCCCAATCAACCTTAATATGTTGACCGTTGAAAAAAAAAGATTGTGGAAGTTATGAGGAATATATCAAAGTACTGTGTGTAGATGGCTATTTATCCACTTCCACTAAGCATATTTCTGCTATGTTAGCCAAGTCATCTGCAGTTTTTGAGAGAATGTCATATAGTTGTAAACAGCTAGCATCTGTGTGTCTCACAAATCTCTATACCTGAACCACATCTTTAGTTTTACGTATGACTTTGTCAACTTCTTCTTTTTAGATGATAATGTTGTAAGCAAGTAACTCATCTTAGAGGACTTTAAACATCCAATAATATAACCTTGCCGAGACTGCACAGTTTAGGTCTTCAGACTGAACTTAGGTTGTCATAGGACACTATAGGACGTGAGTATAGAACACTATAGGACGTGAGTATAGGACACTATAGGACGTGAGTATAGGACACTATAGGACGTGAGTATAGGACACTATAGGACGTGAGTATAGGACACTATAGGACGTGAGTATAGAACACCATAGGACGTGAGTATAGGACACTATAGGACGTGAGTATAGGACACTATAGGACGTGAGTATAGGACACTATGGCAAGTGTCTTGGTAAGACCTTAGTTTAGCGTCTTAAATTCTAACGAAACTAGTTATGTGCGGTGGAGGTAACTAATGAATATTTCTTTCATTTGGCCATATGTATGACATATTTTACATAATATAACAGATAATTGATTAATAAATCACAATCCATGACCAAACCAGTCAAAAACATCCTGGAATAAGCTTTAAACTACCATGTTCGAGACAACAATAAGTAAATACAAGCAGCGGCCATGTTTAAAAACAATAATAGAGTAGTTTCCCTTGAAAAATTGTCTATTCGCATATCTGTTGTGTTGATTTTATGGTTTAACATGAATTTTTATTTTTATTATATATGCTTGTATTGTAATTTTTCTTTTTTTAATATGGTTGAAATGAATGACTAATAGACCTTTTCAGACTTAATAGTGTGCATCCAAGACCACAACAATTGAGTGGAGGTCGAACTTTTGAACACTTTTTTTTATGCAGTAATCAAATCAACATTAGATCGCAAATAAATGATGTCGATCTTACTGGGTTAATATAGTTATGACAGCGGGCGCTATTACAGAACAAATATAGTGATGAACCTATTGTTTCAGATAGAAATTGTGATTTGTGGTGGGGACAGGTTGGGTAGAATTCATGCGATGTGATTTTGAGACGGGTCAAGAAATGTAATTAGCATGCTGAGTCGCATTTCTTGAAACCAACCGTTTTATCCCCCACTTAGCACATGGTCACCGAGTTAACGCTCGCGCGTGACGCATGTACCGGTACCGCCGACTGTTTGGCTAATTATATGGGAAAAAACAAGCACTGCCGTTTTGACACTTATGCGACGTTTAATTTGATTACTTATGTTGGTGTTCAATTAAACAGCCCCTCACACATCTATCCCTCGTCCATTTAAACATACGTGGTTATTTCTGCAAGCTTGCTGTCTTGAGACTTTCGGCCCTTTAAAAACTTTTAAGCTCTCACCGTATAGAACTAGACTACCCATATTAAGCTCCAAAAGAAATTTGGTGAAAACAGGATGGCCGTCCGATTTTGAAGCTGCTCTGCGCTTTATTAAAACACAATGGACGATAAGAAGACACTTATTTTAAGTAAATTATTGATCTAAATCTTGATACATTAAAAGTGATATTCGAAAATTAAGAGCTGTGTATTAGGCCAGACAGTCAACATGATATTTAAATTTAAGTCCAAAAAACTGTCCTCAAAAGATGTAACATTACTAATTTTTTGGGCAGTTTCGCGCTATTGAATTAAAGTACGTTATCTCACAGAGTGCGATAGCCTACTGGTGCTCTAACGCGGCCCCATGCTGATGGCCGTATTCCTAACGCACCGGATTATGACTTGTCGTGACATTGACAACGAAATATGATGGAGGTTGGGGTTTAATTAAGGTAAAGAGAAGTAAAAAAAAACTGTCATAATTTAAGATAGAATCACTAAAGGGAAAATACAACCTAAAATGAAAATAGCGAACACTCAAACAATAATTTAAAAAAACTCAAACTGTAAGCCTATAGATCAAGTAATGAACAAATAAACATTATATCTAGCACAAAAGTGATTTTATACATAGATACAAGTTGCATCTCACAATAGTTCTAGAATTGATGGTGTTGTTTGTTAGTAATTTCAGTTTTTAAATGGCAGAATTTTAAACAAAATGCTTTGTAGGCTTATACAAATACAAGACAATCATATTTAAAATCCATTTCCATACGAATAGAAATGGAAGGGAAGCTACTCTAAATAATATTTTACTATAAGTTACTATCTCGAACAGGGTTGATAAAAATTAATTTCAGGATATTTAAATTGATTTAACCATCAATGATGATCTATTATAAATTATCTATAATATTTTATTAAAATAAACGAAAATAAACTCATATTTAAAGCCAGATTCATTAATTCTAAATAATTAACTCTCTCCCACATTACTTAAGTTGTTTTAGCCGAATTCACGACGCTACACTAAGGTTTTACCCGTGGCTTTACCTGTGTAGTCCCACCCATGACAAAATCTACAGCTGCCTGTTTGAGACTGCTTAAATATATTGCCATGGTAAACTAGAGGGTTGGTGCAGTTTTTTTTATCTGGTTTAGTTGAAGATGAATTTTTATAAATATTTACAGTCGCGCCATTTTGTTTACATGATGTTGAAATTGTTGCGCTACACAATTTTTGATGACGTTTATTGAATGATTTCAATGAAAGCACTTTGACATCTTAAACTTCAATGAACTCGAGCGAAAAAAGTCTCAAATGTATACCAGAGGCCCATTAAAATTTTTTAAAATCATGCGCGGCTTAGTTATAATTAAAATGGTTTTAAAATCATGTCTGTTTTTTTCGGACTTTACTAAAGATTGTATGTATTTTTTTTTTAATATTTTATTTAACTAAATAAAAAGTAAAAGAAAATTAAAGACAATTTGGTTTTCACGTGTAATGGCGACATAAACAATGGCATCCTGCCAGAGGCGTATCCAGGTTTTCGTTGTAGGGGGAGCGAAAAGAGCAAAAAAAAAAGGCGCCGAATTTTTAACGCGTTCTATAAACGTGTATTTTATAAATATATATATATATATATATATATATATATATATATATATATATATATATATATATATATATATATATATATATTTATATAATTACTAGCTGTATGTCATTACTTCGCTGTGATGTAAAATAAATTGAAAGTAGCACTCTGAAGAAATAAGAATACACACAATGTAGGCCGACAAAACAAAAATGGTATCAATCTAAACATAAAACAAACAAAATATACACATACTACAACCAAAAACAATGAATGTAACACAATCTGTTTTGTAATTCTTGTTAAAAAATTCTTACATAATAATTCCTGGGAAATTATTTAAGACAAGTGAAATAGGGGAAATAATCACTTTCTTAATATAAATATGTACATATCTACACATTTAATTATAAATGTCAAAACAAATAAATAATTACTTAAGAATATAATGAAATTGTTTAACACAATTTGTGTTAACAAAATGTTTTTGTTTATAATCAGAATTAAATATATCGTCATCATAAATGCTAAAGTATTACAGCATAATGAACGTTTTTGAAATCAGAGTTGGTATAAAACAACGCTTTTCGATTTAAAAGAATAATATTTGGAATAACAACCTACATTAAACTAAAGATCGGTCTTTTAAATCCGATCATATATTTTTCAATAAACTACTGCTTTTTTGTGTTCTTTAACGAATTTTTTTTTAAATAGTGATAGGTATGGGTTAGATCACTGTATTGCTCAAACACCTTTTTACTGTCCGGTCACTTTAGGTCAACTATCCAACCCAGTGTATACCTAGGTGTGACATTAATGTCGCTCTGCACAATTGTGGTGGTGAGGTGTGGGGGTTCTAAACATACATATATATTACACATGTATACTGATTCAGAAATAGATTTAAATAAGTAGCAGTGGTATTATGACAATATTTTTTTTTCTACAGAGGGGTCCATGGGGGAGGAGGGTTGTAACTGTTTCATATAATTTGTAATCGTATCACTATCGCCATAACTGTAATAATACTACTACTTCATCGTGATGACGTTGTTGAACTTGTCAAAATTTCCCCACCACTACGCAGCTTGCCCATAAGTAAATTTAAATAGAGGTGTCACATCAGTTGTATTTGTTTCTGTATTGTAATTTTCAAAAAATTAATCACACGATTTAAACTGTATATACAAAGTAATTATGTGTGAAGTTTTATGTATAACATTTTCTAATGCAATTATTCGTAAGCAAATACATTATACAGTTGCCTTAAACTTTACACCCCTATTGCCAAGTAGTACTAACGGTAGAGGTTATTAAAAAAAATACCAATGCATCGTAATGGTTATTTTTAGAATGGCAAACTGATGCAGCTGTTAATACGTGTTGTAAACGTAGACACTACTGGACTAGTACAATAATGCTTAATTGCTGCATGATAAGAAATCTTGTGATTTACATAAATCTAGATGTGCCGACCAAAAATATTTTTTTTACAAATATCATTGTTTAAAAACTTTGAGTTTAAAAAGTTTCCAAAAAGGCGCCACTTTGCTGAAAATGGCCAGAGGGGGAGCCCCGCTCCCCCTGCTCCCCCCCTGCGTACGCTACTGCATCCTGCTATTCGATAGGCTAGCATACATTTTATTGTGCAAATTGAAAGCGAAAAAAGGAGACCTGTGTCATTAGGTTTAAATTAGCATCGTTAATTAGAAACTATATCTATATCTGCAAAGTTAAGTAAATAAAAAAACTGATTTGGGACCAATCAATATATGTCTTACGAAAGTGAAACATCCGGTTATAACTTAGGCTTGATGAAAATAATTAGAAATTACTTTCAAGTTCTCTTGATTTACAACTGTTATAACATTGATTCTAAAAACTTTAACTTTCCGAATAATTTATAGGCTTAAGTTTTTATGTTTTATTATTTTTATGATCGCTTTGATTGCAAAATCTTAAAAAAAAGCTCGTTTTTATTACATGTCAACAATATGATGGAAGGTTTCTCGACAACTTAGTCCCCCCATTTGAATTCTCTAATGATTTTGGAGGTATATAGATTAGGATAAATACATCTGTCTATTTTATTACATTTTTACGAAATTTTTAGGTGTTTGATAATGATTCCTGCATTTATTTCCTTCACAATATAATTAACTTCTTTAATCTGTTTATTTCTTTGGGTCGGAGTTGATGAGCGATATTTTGACCACTACTACCAGAATGATTGCATTCAATCAGTGGGTCAGGACTTGGTGACAATGCAATTGTTTGAATAGGATTAATTAATTAATTTTTATAGATAGATTAAAATAATATTTCCTTCTGAAGTAATGATGTTTATCGCGCTATCATTAGTATTAAAACAAAAACGAATAACTGTGCGTTTGTGTGACTATCTTTAGTCATGCAGTTCTAGTCTAGTAGAAATCTTTAATTATTGAGTTTTGTAACCAATACTAGAGTTACCTGCCAACGTGCAGTTATCAGGATCTAGTTTGGTTGCACGTGATGTGGGTCCGCAAGTTTTTATATTCTGTTTTCCTTTAATTATTACCGGTCTTTCCATGTCATGTGACCTCTGAGAGATCTGTGTAGGGGAATTTTCACTTGCACAAAGGCAGTATAACCTAATGTGTCGTGAGATCAAGACTTGCACGACGGCAATATAACCTAATGTGTCGTGAGATAAAGACTAGCAAGACGGCAATATCACCTAATATGTCGTGAGATCAAGACTTCCAAGACGGCACGGCAGTATAACCTAATGTGTCGTGAGATCAAGACTTGCACGACGGCAATATAACCTAATGTGTCGTGAGATCAAGACTTGCACAACGGCAGTATAACCTAATGTGTCGTGAGATCAAGACTTGTAAGACGGCAGTATAACCTAATGTGTCGTGAGATCAAGACTTGCACGACGGCAGTATAACCTAATGTGTCGTGAGATCAAGACTTGCACGACGGCAGTATAACCTAATGTGTCGTGAAATCAAGACTTTTAAGACGGCAATATAACATAATGTGTCGTGAGATCAAGACGGCAATATAACCTAATGTGAGGGATCGGCGTGGTAGAGTCGGTATAGCTCATGGTTGCTAAACCGAAAAGTCTCGAGTTCGAACCCTCGGGCAGATGAGGTTCGTTAGCTGGGGACAGCCACTCTTCTAGGAGAGACAACTCCAAAATTAAAGAACTGCTGCCTTGTAGTTTGTTCTTGGTTGGACAAAGGCTATGGAAGCAAATCCAAAAAGAAAAGCAGGCTGAAATCGGAGTCAATGGCCTCAATGGCGCATAACCAGTTGACACGTAACGCTTAATTGTGTTGGAGGCGTGGTCGAGTCGGCAAAAAGCTCATGGTTGATAAATTCGAGCAAAAGTCTCGAGTTCAAACCCACTGGCAGATAAATCTCGATCCCCTTCAACACTAATAATTAAGAACGAAGAAGAAGAAGAAGAAGACCTAATGTGTCGTGAGATTAAAACTTGCAAGACGGCAATATAACATAATGTGTCGTGAGATCAAGCCTTGGATGACGGCAATATAACCTAATGTTTCGTGACATCAAGACTACCAAGACGGCAATATAACATAATGTGTCGTGAGATAAAGACTTGCATGACGGCAGTATAACCTAATGTGTCTTGAGATCAAGACTTGCACGACGGCAGTATAACCTAATGTGTCGTGACATCAAGACTTGCACGACGGCAGTATAACCTAATGTGTCGTGAGATCAAGATCCGATGGTCGTAGTGAATTAGTGATTAAGACGTATAGGCGTAATAAAGGGCTATGCGTTGTCATTTTGTACATGATATGTTATCTACATCATAAATATCTACTACTTAACAACTATTTACCTGTACCTCGACCTGTGTAATAATAACACGTGATAACTTGGCTGCGTTCAACACAGTTCACGGGTTTTACACACAATAGTGTGTTGTGTTGTCTCTCTGGGTCAGGCCCTGAATACACCAAACCTCAGTGTGTGATCATTACATCCTGATGGTCAGGACTGAGCCGTATTACAAAATAAAAAAAAAACTATTTAATAACAAACTTTTATATAATCGTGCATTAAAAGAATAAAAACAAATGGTTTTCTTTAAATGAAGTATTCCACTATTTAAAGAACTACACAAAAAGCGCGTATCACTATGATATGTATAAATCACTTCTACTAAAATGTAAGATATGTGTTTCCACATTTCGTAATTAGAAAAATTAATGCAATTAACGTAAACTAACACTTAAATTTTAACTTTTTTTTTATTCCAGGCCGATCGTTCTCTTTAAACATATTTGTTTCACACCCTATTAACTTTATGTATCAACTAGTCACTATATAAATTCATATACACGATTCTCATCTGTACCTATAATCATCTGACTAGGGCTACATTTTGTAAAAACATGATGAAATGCGGCAAGTTTTGGGGGTGCTCTTAAAATTTCCGAGTATGGTGGAGTGGGAGGAGGCAAGAAAACTTGTTTTCTTTTATAAACATGGTGAGGGGTGGAAGCTTTATGAAAGCTTTGGTGGTTAAAATTTGTAAGACGAAATATGAGCGACGCAAGCTTTTATTAGAGAAAACAAGTTCGTTTTAGTTTCATTTCATTTAAAGCTTCTTACAGTAAAGAATTGTTTATATTTGTTTGATTAAGAAATAAAAACAAAATCAGAAACGAGTGTGTAGAACATTGTTTTAATAACGATCTAAAAACATTCGTGAACTGATCCAACATGGTGAACTCTCCTGACCCCACCAACCGTGTCAGACTGACCAGTTTTATTTGACTGCTTGACCGTTCAGTGTGACGTCACATGAGAGCGGACATCGCGTCATGACATCTCTGATGGCTGTCGTGTACATCTCCTCGTCATCACTCAAGTCACAGTCCAAATATAGCGACAAGGTGTCCAGATATGTGCACGGCTGTAAACTGTGGACAGGAGGTAGGGTAGGAATACCATCACATACAATGTATGACACATCAGAAACTCATATCGTATCTGACACGCTAAGCATGTTGTAGCACACTTGTGTCCAGGGACTCTAGGCTGTCGCTGAGCCCGCCCCGCACTGATGGGTACCTGACTCAAAGGTACCTGACTCAAAGGTACCTGACTCAAAGGTACCTGACTCAAAGGTACCTGACTCAAAGGTACCTGACTCAAAGGTACCTGACTCAAAGGTACCTGACTCAAAGGTACCTGACTCAAAGGTACCTGACTCCAACCCACGCAATGGTACCTGACTCTAGTCCACCCAAGTCTGATGGGTACCTGATTCAAATGTACCTGACTCCAACCCATGCAACGATGATGGTACCTGACTCTAGTCCACCCAGCTCTGATGGGTACTTGACTCTAGTCCACCCAGCTCTGATGGGTACCTGACTCTAGTCACCCAGCTCTGATGGGTACTTGACTCTAGTCCACCCAGCTCTGATGGGTACCTGACTCTAGTCCACCCAGCTCTGATGGGTACCTGACTCTAGTCCACCCAGCTCTGATGGTACCTGACTCTAGTCCACCCAGCTCTGATGGTACCTGACTCTAGTCCACCCAGCTCTGATGGTACCTGACTCTAGTCCACCCAGCTCTGATGGTACCTGACTCTAGTCCACCCAGCTCTGATGGGTACCTGACTCTAGTCCACCCAGCTCTGATGGGTACCTGACTCTAGTCCACCCAGCTCTGATGGTACCTGACTCTAGTCACCCAGCTCTGATGGTACCTGACTCTAGTCACCCAGCTCTAATGGGTACCTGACTCTAGTCCACCCAGCTCTGATGGTACCTGACTCTAGTCACCCAGCTCTGATGGTACCTGACTCTAGTCACCCAGCTCTAATGGGTACCTGACTCTAGTCCACCCAGCTCTGATGGTACCTGACTCTAGTCCACCCAAGTCTGATGGGTACCTGACTCTAGTCCACCCAAGTCTGATGGGTACCTGACTCTAGTCCACCCAGCTCTGATGGGTACCTGACTCTAGTCCACCCAAGTCTGATGGGTACCTGACTCTAGTCCACCCAGCTCTGATGGGTACCTGACTCTAGTCCACCCAGCTCTGATGGGTACCTGACTCTAGTCCACCCAAGTCTGATGGGTACCTGACTCTAGTCCACCCAGCTCTGATGGGTACCTGACTCTAGTCCACCCAGCTCTGATGGGTACCTGACTCTAGTCCACCCAAGTGTGATGGGTACCTGACTCTAGTCCACCCAGCTCTGATGGGTACCTGACTCTAGTCCACCCAAGTCTGATGGGTACCTGACTCTAGTCCACCCAAGTCTGATGGGTACCTGACTCTAGTCCACCCAGCTCTGATGGGTACCTGACTCTAGTCCACCCAGCTCTGATGGGTACCTGACTCTAGTCCACCCAGCTCTGATGGGTACCTGACTCTAGTCCACCCAGCTCTGATGGGTACCTGACTCTAGTCCACCCAGCTCTGATGGGTACCTGACTCTAGTCCACCCAGCTCTGATGGGTACCTGACTCTAGTCCACCCAAGTCTGATGGGTACCTGACTCTAGTCCACCCAGCTCTGATGGGTACCTGACTCTGATGGGTACCTGACTCTAGTCTACCCAGCTCTGATGGTACCTGACTCTAGTCTACCCAGCTCTGATGGTACCTGACTCTAGTCTACCCAGCTCTGATGGTACCTGACTCTAGTCTACCCAGCTCTGATGGTACCTGACTCTAGTCTACCCAGCTCTGATGGGTACCTGATTCTACTCCACCCAGCTCTGATGGGTACCTGATTCTACTCCACCCAGCTCTGATGGGTACCTGACTCTAGTCTACCCAGCTCTGATGGGTACCTGACTCTAGTCTACCCAGCTCTGATGGGTACCTGACTCTAGTCCACCCAGCTTGTTCCCCAACGTGAGTCAGATACCTGTCTAACTGTTGGGCACGGTGCACGCTACACCATTTCGTCATATACAGAGTTCAAGAAACATACACATACAAACTTTACTTCATCTGATAAGATTATCTCATAGAAAGTTTGCTTCATTGATTTAACCAACCCAACAGTCATACAACTATTAGAACATATGCATTTAATCTTGCAGCACCCTCGACCATATGTTTTACTACTTACAAATCAAACAACCAGTGGAGTAGCCAGGATCGACTCAAGTGTGGGTGGGGGGTCCAATTTTTACCCCCCCCCCCCTCAAACTTTCGATTTGCACCCCCCCCCTTCAAACTTTCGATTTGCACCCCCTCATACTTTTTATATACATACCGAAGGGTCTATGAGGGGGGGGGGGTTTACTCCCCCCCCTAACCCCCCCTGCATACGTCACTGCAAACAACTAATACACTTTTAGCCTACAAAATGTATTTAACAGCGTGAAACCAGAGCCAGAATAACAATAAAATGTTCACCTACCTTTTGAACATCGCATCAATGCATTCCTTGTCTAGGCCAACATCAGTTTGTAGATCAATATGTTGTAAAGTTTCCTGTAAACATAGACATAATTATATGAGTAAAAATCATGAGTGTTGCTGCATTAAGTTTCAGGAACTTCAATTAGTTTAACGCTGATTCCGCGCGACAACATTTTCGGCTCAGCTATTTGTTAACAAAATATATATTTGTATTTTCTACAATTTAATAACGTGAATTGACCTAATGAAAGTTTTGTACCTAGTACCACCCACACCCTCTTCCCCTGTTAAGCTGATCCCCCTTACCTTGTATTTCTACCATTCAGTAACGTGAATGTACTAAGTGAAAGGTCTGTACCCAGTGTGAAGCTGATCCCCCTCACCTGAAAGTTCTGTCCCATATGTTGAAAGAACTTCTCTATGTTCTCTATAGCGATGACACTGCCTGCTTTCCACTTGACTTGATAGAGCGGCATGGATGGTGTTAGCATCAATGTCGTGTCTTGGAAGTACGACTCCTGATTGGAATTATTTTCAAGACTTACTTTGAAATTCTGTATTTAATTGTGATTTCTCAACTTGGAAATAATACTCTGTAACTCAGTGTTAAAAAGTAAACAATAAATATAGGTCTAGCGACAGATGAAGTAGAGTTCATGTGTTAATCGGCCTCGGCTTATGAAAGGAGATGTAGTCAGCACTTTGCCTACTCGTCTTTAATTCTTAATATTAGTTAGTTACCTATCAGAGTTGGTTGGTCTTAGAGACGTTCTACTGACTTGATTCTTGAATTTGAACTCAAGACTTTCGGAGTAACAGCCTAGTGCTCTACCACCGTCCCATGTTACTCTGACTAAAATTATTAATAGAAGATAAGCTACTTGTTTATCTACTTTACTAAAAGCGGCTGTGTGTTCAAACGGTTACCAGACCGACATGTCTTTTAATTTAATAGCAAAAGTAATTTGATGTTATTTTGTTTTTAAAATATTGTTCTACTATAGGTTTGTTTTAATAAACAAAATCTCACAGTTATGGGTTTGATGAAAAATATGACTATGAGCTCAGGACATGCCGCTGTAAGGTTCTCCCACGCTGTAGGGGTAGTGCTACTCTCGAAATATGGGGGCTTGTCTACACGAACTGTGATCACCTTCAGGCTGGTTGTTGTCCTGGCTAAGCTAAGCAGCAGGTCATCTTCCAAATAACCGTAGCTGAGGTCCAGGTCTGAAAGTCACAAGGTCTCTCGTTACGTGACATATGGTGAGTTGACTAGAGCAGTAACCAAGTCAAATATTACGTACTCATAGCGTCAGTGTTAAGAGAACTGCGCGGTCATGTTCTTATCGGAGCTAGGTGGTCAAGATCTCATCAGCGCTAGGTGGTCAAGATCTTATCAGAGTTGAGTAGTCAAGGTCTTATTAGGTCATGCTTTTGTTATATTTGGTGGTCAACATCTTGTCAGAGTTGGGTGGTCAAGGTTTTTTTTATCAAAGCTGGCTGGTCAATGTCATTTTAAAACTGAATGGACTGCTACACTGAAAAGTGTTTTTCCAATCTCCTGACTTTATAGCCAGTGATGCAACACTAGAGATAACAAATGCTGACTTCCATGTAGATTTATAACCAACATCATTTCCTACCATACTATTTCATAGTAAAATAAATGTTTGTTTATTATTGAACATATTATTAATAATAATTTACTTGTTTCAAAAATGTAACAGACCAGACAAAATCAAGCTAATCCTTTAACTGAAAAATGATGTCATTCAACCCACCTGACAACTTGCTGAAACCTGCGATGGCGCTTCGAAATTGTGGAAGAAAGCTCAAGTCATTAGGGTAAATGTCTATCAACCTAACGAGCCTGGAGATCGCAAGTTTCCGTAGCGTGTTGGCACAGTTTTTACTAGCAGCATTCAGCAGCTTCATACCTTGAAATATATAAATAAAGTTTCCATTTTTATTTTAAATAGTTTAATCATGTTTGGAGAAAAATCAGCACTAAAATGAGGTCGACTGTTAATACCACCAGAATAAAATCTAACTAAATACAAACCGTGCAAGCACCTAACGTCTTGTTAACACTCGATGTTACACTGTCCATACTCACCTTCATGTACGGTAAAACCAGCATAGCCACGGTGTTTGACAGACTTTTGGCTGTTGCTGAGGTCAAGGACACGAAGCTGCTGCTGGTCGTACAAAACTTTGGCCAAGAGTTGAGCGACCTCTGAAAATGACCTTGACTTTGCTCTTATGCCATCGTTTTCCAAACTGCAGATATTGGTTAGCCTGAAGGTCCAAATTTGATGGTTGCGTGAGTTCAATAAGTTGGCCAAAAATTGGTACAGCTTGTCTGTACACGATGCGCGGCTTCTGTTTGCTTTAAAAAAACAAAACAAAAATACACATGTACATTTGTTGTCGACTGGTTCGTACATAGACGCACATTTTAACCACTATTTGTGTGACTTACCCCAAACATCGTACTCGCCGGCTCTACAATCTGCACGAATGTGGCGCAATGATCTCCCAACCTTTTTCATAAATCTTATTGCTTTATCATCACTCTCTGAGTCGATATTAAAATCTCCAGTCTCCCACACGGACGGCACTGAGAGTGGACGGAGCCAGGACTTGCAGGTGAGGGCGGCGTGGACCTTGTCCCTGTTGCTCAGGTAACGGAAGACGTGGAGCAGAACTTCGAAAGGCAGCTGGCTCCAGTCAGGCTGAAATTGTGTTAAGTTTGTCAAATCTCTGAAAGTGTGATTGTCTAAACAGTTTGTGCCTAATGAACCTAAGCGTATTAAGTCTCGGAGATTCCGTAAACTATGCTTTCAAAGAAAATGTGGTCATACAAATATTATTGTATTGTTTTTACCGGACTGTACTGCTCTTTTTAGAATTTTCGGCCACTCACAAAAAACATTTAAAAACTTAACACATGACATCGCTAGATCGTATGGTTTTAAAAAGTTGAATTCATTAAAATCATTTAACAGATTAACGTAAAACATATTAGTATAGGAGATTGTAGTACTTGAGTATAGTACACTATAGGACACTAAATAATGTGACACTATAGTATGTGAGTATAGGACACTATAGTACTTGAGTATAGCACATTATAGTACTTGAGTATAGGACACTATAGGACTTTAATATAGGACACTATAGGGCACTATAGGAATTTAGTATAGGACACTATAGGATACTATAGGAATTTAGTAAAGGACACTATAGGAATTTAGTATATGAAACTATATGACGCTAAAGGACTTTAGTATAGGACAATATAGGACACTATAGGAATTTAGTATAAGACACTGTAGGACTTTAGTATAGAACACTATATGACACTATAGGACGTGAGTATAAGACATTGTGGTAGAGTATAGGACACTATAGTACGTGAATATAGTACATTAGAATATAGGACAATATAGGACATTACATGACGTGAGTAAAGGACATCATAGTACGTGAGTATAGGACACTATAGGACGTGAGTAAAGGACACTGTAGGACGTGCGAATAGACAATAAAAGACAATATAGGACGTGAGTATAGGACATTGTAGTACTTGAGTATAGGACAATATATGAGCTGAGTATAGGACACTATATGACACTAATGGACACTATAGGACACTATAGGACAATTCAGGACACTATAGGACACTATAGGACACTATAGGACGTGAGTATAGGACACTTTTGGACACTATAGGGCGTGAATATAGGGCACTAAAGGACTTTAGTATAGGACACTATAGGACTTTAGTATAGGACAGTATAGGATACTATATGACGTGAGTAAAGGACAGTAGGCCTATATGCTACTATTTAAAGCTAAGGTAACGGAAGACTTTCTGCAGAATCTCGCACGGCAGCTGGTTCCTGTCAGGCTGAAATTGTATTAAACAATCGTTGCCTGATATACACAACAGAGGCGTAGCGACCCGGGCGACAAATCAGTTAAGAAAGGTCTAGTCCAGTGGCGCAGCCAGGATCGTCTCTAGGGGGGTTCAAATTTTTACCCGGGGACAAACTTTCGATTTTCACCACAGCCCTCAGACTTTTGATTTGCTCCCCCCCCCCCCTCAAACTTTTGATTTGCCCCCCCCCCCCACCTTAAACTTTCGATTTGCACCCCCACTCAGACTTTTGATTAGCACCCCCATCAAACTTACGATTTGCAACCCCAACCCCCCGCGTCAGACTTTTGATTTGCACCCCCCTCATACTTAATATATATACCGAGGGATCTATGGGGGGGGGGGTTATGATCCCCCCTAACCCCCCCTACCTACGACACTGGTCTAGTTACTTTTTAATGGTTTTTATATTGGTGTTATAGAATTGATGCAGTAAACACTTAAATATAATTTCTATAATTATTTTTCTCCCCCGTTGGGCGCCCTTAACATCGACACTCCGGGCGCCACTACCTCCCTCCCATAGTAACGCCTCTGATGGACACAACCAAGAGCATTATCACAGATTATTCGAAAGGCTCATTAAATAATTTTGAATATTTGCTGGCACTTTTAACTGACCGATACTGTTCGTAGTAGGTACGTAGGTCAAGACATGAAGACAATGCAACGCGACATTAAATTTGACTTAATTGGTTGCCTAATTAATTTTGTATGAATTAATTAAAATTTTGTCCAAATTAGTAGGCAGTATTACCCAACTATTCTGCGCTATTATACACGCGTCATCACGTTCTATAGGCGCGAAATAGTTTTTAGTCATGCAATTCTAGTGTAAATAAAACATGTAAAGTACTAAAAAACAATTTCATAATAAAACGTTGTAATCAGTGGCGTACCGCCCCCCCCCCCCCCCCCCGAACGAAAAGAAATGTATATAATTTACAGAGAAAATATATACTTTTAACAGTGTCCGCCCCCCCCCCCCCCGAATAGAGTCTACCGCCCCCCTCCTCCCCCCCCCCCCCCGGAGAAAAAAGTCTGGAAGAAACACTGGTGGGTGCCACCGACTAACTTATCTTAGTATTAACTATTGTTTTGTAACAAGTAACACATGTAAACTATCGTAAAAAAATTATAAAAATCAAATTTCCATCATTTTCAACAGTTTTCTCCAACTAAAAATTTCCTTGTCGGCCACAAAAAAATTAGATTCTATTATGGGCGCTAATCTTAAACGATTTTCTTGAATTTTTTGACTTATGATAAATTTAAGGAGATTTTATAAGTTCAATTTTTTTCTCCATCACCGATTTACGATTTTGGGAAAGTAAAATAGCTCTTTTATGATACTCACATTGCAGGTGCTCATTAAACTTGTCTGTTGCCTTTTTCCAGTTTGAAATTGGCTACCTACACCACAATAATTCAAACTAATCAAAACACAATTTTTGCAAAATGCTCCATCAACCAGTTCCACCTAAGTAGCCACAAATATTGAAACTTTAAATTTCTTTGTTCGCTTGCTGGAAATTTTAAAAGCTCATCAGGACGCCAGATGTTTTCTAATAAATACAACCGTGCATCGTCATTTATAACTACTTTGATAAAATTGCCGATATCATTTGCATAAGAAACAGTCGAAGGTGCTGAATTTATGGAAATTTCTTGATGTAATGTACTTTGAAAAGCAATAGTACCATCTTCATTTTATCATTTTCAGTTTTACTTTTCTTTGTAAAGAAATCAGTTAATAAAGTTAATTTCCTTTTTCCTTCCGCTATCATTAAAATGAATTTAAATTGCTTGAAGTAGTTAAAAGATACACATTAAAACACGACTATACGAAGAAGAAAGCAAATTATTATTGGTCTTCTATTCTGTCTAAATTGACTACAGTAGGTTCATGGCTTTACATCTATACGCAGTTTTTTTATAGACTACTAACACAAAGTTTTGTGTCAACAATTGTGGGTCAAGCCCACGCCTTCCTGGCAGATGTGCATCCGGTAGTATTTTATAATTGATACGTACCAATATTCATCCCACCTTCACCCCCTTTTACACCCCTTAACTGACAACCTTGTTCAGCTTTCCCTTCGCCTATAGCGACCCTGAGTGTTTGTTTAAGCACTGAATGATAGCGACACAAGTCCATCGTCGTCAATAGCTGTAACTTAACGTAAAGGATTGTCATTTTGAAGGTTCTAACCCCCCCCCCCCCCCCTCACCCCTGCCTACTCCTCCCTCTGCCATCTTTATCATTTTCAGTTTACTTATCTTTTTAAAAATTAAGTGAAATGAATTCAAATGGTTTGAAGTAGTAAAAACATACACATTATAGAACCTCAATGCGAATAATAATCAATTCCTTTGTTTATTTGTTTTTCATTTCTAGACGCTTTCCCATTGCACTACAAATAGACAACAAAGGCCTACCCACGTAGCCCACCCCTCCCTTTCGACACTCCTTAACTGATCTAATCTTGGCCAACTTTCCCTTGGCCTACTGCGTTCCAGATTATTATACTTAACTTTAGCACGATAATAAAATTCATAACTAAATTCTACAGGCAATTCTCATCACAATGATATACATTGTTGTTCTAGAGGCTGCCAGGTTAAGTGTTTAGTGTTTAGTGTTTAAGCCCTAAATAATATTAACACAAGTCAATAACTGTAGCTTAACGTAAAAAAGTAGTCATTTTGGGGGTCCATGGGGGGGTGGGGGTTATAACCCCCATAACCCCCCCCCCCCCCTCCCTGCCTACGCCACTGGTTGTAATAACAAGCTTATATTTACTAATGCACTAAAAAGTAGAAAATAAATTAGACACTATTATTAAAAATAAAATAAAGAAGAGCGTGGGTCTCTCCCTAGACATTAGTAAAGGTATCCATTACATACTAAAGTGACCCACGCATTCCTTTATAGTTATAGTCTATAGTTTATTTTCTACTTTTTAGTGCATTAGTACACAAAAGCTTGAAAAAAAATTAGACACTATTATTTAAAATACTATAAAGAAGAGTGTGGGTCACTTCCTAAACATTAGTAAAGGTATACGATAGATACTAAAGTGACCCACGCTTTTTTAATAGTTTTTTAAATAGTAGTCTATAGTTTATTTTCTACTTTTAGCGCATTAGTACATAAAAGCTTGTTATTAAAACGTGTTTATTAAAAGAAAAATTAAGTTCTCTACATAATCATCTTTTATAATGTTTAATCGTAAAACATTACATATCTAAATTATTTTAATGCTAGAGTTTCGAATTTTGTACTGCTATTTATGGCCAACCAACCAAAGCCTGAACTGTCAATATCGGAAGTGAGTATAGTACACCATAGGATATTATAGGACCAGATTATAGGACACTATAGGACTTTAGTGTAGGGCACAATAAGACACTATAGGACTATAGAATGCGAGTATAGGACACTATGGGATACTATAGGAAGTGAGTATAGACAATTTAGGACACTAAAAACACTAAAGGACAATTTAGGGCACTATAGGACAATATAGGAATTGAGTATAGGACACATTATAGACGTGAGTAAAGGACACTATAGGACACGATAGGACGTGTCTTTACCTGTTTAGTCCCACCGCCAACAAATTCAGCTGCAGCCCGTTTTATTCTTTTGATGCTAAACAATGACATATCGCCGTGTAGCAATGTGGCACTTCTCGTTTCTATTATATTATTTATATTGAGATGTTTATATAGATATCCAACGATGAAATAATAATAAATACCCTACACTCGCGCCATATTGTGTACAGGATGTTGAAAGTGAAGCGCTACACAATTTTTGATGACGTGTATTGAATTATTTAAAAAGAAGCACTTTGGAATCTTAATTCTTGAATGATTTTTGAGGTTATTATAATAGGATAAAAAACATTAGTTTATTTATATATTTTTTTACATTTTTACGAAATCGATTTGTGTTTGATAATTATTCTTGTAATTATTTTCCTTCACGCTATAATTAACTTCTTTAATCTGGTTATTTCTTTGGGTTGGAGGTCGGAGTTGACGAGCGATATTTTGACCAGAACGATTGCATTCAACAGTGACGCGTGGGTCAAGACTTGGTGACAATGCAGATTTAACTAACGTTTCCGTTATGAAGCCATGATTATTATTGCGCTATCGAAAAAAATTTAACCTGGAGTAATGTTACGAAACTAGTCACGAGTCACCCATAAAGTTGGTACTGATGGTGGTGATGACTGCAGTGAGAGGTTCAAGTAAAACGCAAACACAATTTCAGCTAGGCAACTTTAATGGTTACTACTTTAGTCTTCAATAAGAAGGAAATAATCTTGAACATTAATAGTGCCCAGCCCTAGTGGCCAGCCCTATCCACATTACAAAACACAAAACACGACTACATCCTAGTAAAGCTAACGTTCAACTGTCCTATTTGTCCTCAACATCCAGTTTAGGGTCTCTGCCTCGAATACAATAGGGTATCACATTACGTGTTTCCCCAAATTTGCATACCAGGTTAAATGGGTCGGGCTCAGGCCAAAGACCAACGACCTGTACTTCCCCTAGCCTGCACAACGCTAGGTAGGGCGGGGTGAGGGAGGTGGGATGTTAACACGCTGTCCCAGTTCAGGGGTGGGACGGTAGGGGGTAGGGTAGATAATTAACTAGCATCGACAATAGACTCAGTCATAACAAATAATATCCCTTAAGTTTTCTCGAATATTCTTATATAACACTACGGGGTATAAAGACATGATTTTCAATCCATTTTTAATTACTTAAACCTTTTAAAATAGAACAGAATCTTGTATAAAATAAACCGGGAGTGATCTCCCCTAAACTTTCTCGAATATTCTTATATAAAATAACAGGGGATGGGAACTCGGGCTATAGACATGATTTTTAATCCATTTTAAATACTTAAAGTTTTAAAAATAGAATAAAATCTCGTAGACAAATTAATTGCACACCAAGTGAACGCGAAATAAAAAAGCGCACAATAGTGCGCAATATTATTATTACTTTTAAAATTTACATTAGTTTTTTGAGAAATCGGAAGTAGCGTAAAGTACTACTTCCAGTCAACGGAAATGACTCAAAATTTAATAGAAGGTAGAGAATTAGATCTTTTACTTACGTATGAAATTTCATTTATCTATCTGAAATAGTACTCAAGTTATAGGCTTTTGAAAAATTCAAAGTAGGAAAAGTACCACTTCCGGTTATCGGAAATCGCTCAAAAGTTGATACGGATCTACGATTTTGATTAGATACTTATATATGAAATTTCATCAACCTAGCTGTAACGGTACTCAAGTTATCGTGTTTACACACGGACACACACACACACACAGACACACAGACATACGGACAAGATTGCAAAATTATGTTTTTCCGTATCAGTGAGATGCAAAACGTCGAGATTTGCAAAAATCTCGATTTTTTTTTTTGCACGATTACAAGACTTTCTCTATACTTCGTATATACGAGAAAGTAAAAATAATTGTGCACCAAGTAAACAGAATAAATATGTGTACGCAATAAATGGCCTTTTTGTGAGGAAGAGATACAACGGGCGCTAGATTGATAGTGTTGTCTTTGTCTCTGAATGGAAACCGAATCCAAATCACCAGCTCATTTTCAAATTTTACCGGAAACGAACAATGTCATTGAAAACGAATATTTATCCAGAATCGGCATTTCAATTGGTTTGATACTAGATCTATTTGATACAATGTGGTGACACTTTAGTAGGTATTTCGATAGAGTGGTCTGTGATATTTTGGCGGGTATATTAAAGCAGTGTGGTGACATATTGGTGGGTATATTGATGCAGTAGGTTGTGACACATGAGTGGTTATATTGATATTTTGTAATGACTCAATAGTGGGTATATTGATACACTGTGGTGACACATGGGTATATTGATACACTTTTCTTGTCACATTGTACCATTATATGACACCGCAACCGTTTTATACTGGTACTTACAGAGCACTAATTCATACTGTCCATGGTCCAGATAAAGTAGAGTTCACCTGAAGGGATGTGTGGTCAGTACGATGCATATCAGCAGTTACCTTCCCCAACGTCAGCCAAGTACCCATCAGAGCTGAGTAGACTCTGGGACATCCTACCTACTTGAGCCCAGGATACGAACTCGAGACTTACTTATTGTCAGTCAATCGCTGTGCCATTCGTTCCATGTGACTATCGATACGAGCATCGTATATATGCACTTTAATGCTTTAACAGCTTTATATTATGCATATTTAGAAAATTGTCAATGATTATATTAAAAATTAATAATCTATAGTATGCAACCAACGTTTTCCGTGTATTAGTCCAACGATTTTAGAATCATAATACATTTCAATATATGTTTAAATTGAGAGCTGATGGAAGAGATTATCCTAAAATTATTTATCCCAGGGTAAGTTGTCAGTTATTCAATTTTATCCCATGTTAAGCTGTCAGTCACTTGGTTTATTTCACATGTTAAAGTAAATGTTCTTTAATCCAATGGTTAGTTTAGTAGTTTTTTAGTCAGTTCTTTAAAAACGAACAGTGTATCGGTCATTAAAATTAATCAAAACAAAACTAGAAACAGTGACAAAAATATTTTAATTTTTTTTATTATACTCTTTTCTGTTTACCGAATCATAATGGCTATTTTTAAATTTTAGCTCTCCATTTCAGGATAAGAAGATCAACAAGTTTTATGAAGACATCATTGGCAAGATTTTCTAAACAAGCCTGGGTAGCTGCGTTTTATCACACATCTTCTTCTGGATAAGTGGCTCACGTTTTAATTAATTATCTCATAACTAATCTCACATTTTTAATTGGATGTACTCTGTTGATAAGTGATATCAAAATTCTATGTAAATAGCCACTTGCACATAATGTTAACATAGCACAGGTAATCAGTAAATTATTGTAGATTTAAACTATTTGCAATCATGATTTTACAACTACTTTTGTGAACAAATGTAACACTTATTTTATAAGTTTGATATTACTAGACCAGTGGCGTCGCGAGATCGGGTGTCACCCAGCGCGGCACTTAATGGTGTCACCCCCCCCCCCCCCCAGAGGCGTAGCGATCCTTCCCGGGGACAAACTTTCAAGTTTTCGATTTGCACCCCCGTCAAACTTTCGATTTGCACCCCTACCCCCTCAAGTTTTCGATTTGCACACCCCCCCCTCAAACTTTCCATTTGCGCCCCCCCCCCCCTCAAGTTTTTCTCTATATATTTTGCTATTTTTTGCCTTGGTGTGACCCCCCTAAATGGTGTCACCCGGTGCATTCCGCACCCCCGCCCCCCCCCCCCCCTCGCTACGCCCCTGTACTAGACTACACGTTATTCTTGAATAACAGTGTGTTTCGAGGGTCATCAATAAATGACGTCATGTTTATTTGACGATTTTTATCTTTCCCTTCCCACTGTCACTTATCTTAACAAAAAGTCAGACCCCACATTCAAAAAGTGGCCACACCTCAGGTAACATGTTATTGTTTTTTAAAAATACCTGTTTCGGCTAAGCATGGGTCTAAACACCCTACTTTTTACATGCTGATAATACAGAAAGTGGTAAACTCTACTTTACCTGCCCAAGTTGGGATAGGAATCTTTATCATTTATATATTTAAAAAAATACTGAAAAAAAATGTAACATTGACATGCTGTCTCTCAAACCCATACCACCCGCATGGTAACTATTACACTATCAACTCAGCTATCTGGGTACTTTCGATTACGTGTAAAATTAGTTGGGTAGTTTACTTAGAGAGTCCGCGTAAGAAACTTGAGTTACGGACTAAAATAGTTCAATAAAGAGGTTCAATATGGATTGTATTTTTGTTGTGTATTGCTTATTGTTGTATGTTTTTCTTTTTAGCTGATTATTTTTGTTTTGGCCTTAAAATTCGTTTTTCGGTATAAGTTGCGATTATTCCTGTACGTTTTAAGGGACTACTATTAAGTCCCTGTATTTTTCTGTAAAACTATTTTTGGTTTGGCCTTAACATCAAATGACGTCACAAAGCCGGTGAAAGTTAAAGTTTTTGAGAAAAAATCTGCTTGTTTTAAATTCTATAATTCAAGTGGTATTTCTACCAATGAATATATCGATACATTAATTAACGTCATTAAATGAATTTGTGATTAACAGTTTGGTAAAAAAGAACATCATTTTCTACCTAAATACGTATTTTACTGCTCTCTTCATAGTGCAGATTCTCTCAAGTAACCAAATAGACAAACAAAAAAATAAATATACAAACTAGTAAACAAACTTGAGTTGTAGTAGTATACTAGACTACCCGTTTTGTAGTTAGATAACTGTGGGTTTCGGGGGGGGGGGGGGGGGAGGAGGTCATCCATAAATGACATCACGTCTGTCACACAGAGGCGTAGCGACCCTTTTCTGCGCCCGGGGACAAAATTTTCGATTTGAACCCCCCGCCCCCCGCCCCCTCCCCGGCAAGATTTCGATATGCACCCCCATCAAACTTTCGATGTGCACCCCCCACCCCCTCAAGGTTTCGATTTGCACCCCCCCCCCCTCAAACTTTCGATTTGCACCCCCCCCCCCTCAACATTTCAATTTATTTTTCCAACCCATTTTGGCGCCCCCTAAGGTCGGTGCCCGGGGACATATGTCCCCTTCGCCCCCACCCCCCTCGCTACGCTACTGCAGTGTCACTTATCGTCACAAAAAAACAGACCCCACATTCAAACATGTTTTTTATCATATAAAAACACCGAAAACAACGATTTCGGACTATCCCTTCATATGCTGACGTCACAGGTGACTTACTCAACCCTACTTCACCTGCCCAGTGTCCCACCAAGTCTCAGACAACATGTTTTTATCGTTTAAAAAACCCATTCCAGCCGAGCATGTCTCTGACCACACTATCCCTTCATATGCTTAGGACAAACAAACAGGTGCACTCTACTTCACCTGCCCTGTGCCCCGCGAGGTGCTGATAGTGAACCTTGTCATTCACATGTAGGCCTTAGGAAAAATAATTGAAAACGTTGTATAAAGAAAATATATTATTTAACTAATACTAAAGTCATAGTTCTAAACTTTTATATAAATTGTGGTTAATCTACCCATGAATATATCTAAAAATTAATTAACGGCTTTAAATTAGTTTGTAATTAACAGTGTGTTTAAGAAGGAACAATATTTACCACTCAAAATACCATTTAACAAATCAGAAAAACAAACAAACAAAAAATGAGTTATCAAACATCACTATTCAGTCAAAGTTAAGCTATTGTTCTAAAACTTTAAAACAAATGTGGTTAATCTACGTATGAATAAATCAATAAATTAATTAACGTCTTTAAATAAATGTGTCTGTCTGCAATAAAAAATTATTCTCTACCTACATACTATTTTACAGCCCCCCATATAAAGCAGTTTCCTTACAGTAAGAAATCAGACAAACAAATAAATATTCAAACATGTAAACAAAGTTGAGTTTTAGTAGTATTAGATAGATTTATTTCTTTTTTTTTTACATCTTATTATTTATATAAACAAATGGCGACGAGAATGTAGACTATATAATTGTTTAAAGAGTACGTATTTCATTTTTCAGGCTATTGTGTTGAACAGAGATTTAAAAAAAAAATAACTGTTTTTTTTAAATTGAATGGTATATAAACAACTGAAAAATGTATATATATATATATATATATATATATATATATATATATATATATATATATATATATATATATATATATTAATTACAATAAAATAATTTCGAATACGAATGTAAATGTTATAGAAAATACACTAACTGTACTACTTAATTTTTTTTTTAAATTAACATGCATTTTCTGTAGATAAACTAGCAATAGCTACATAATTCGTCTTCTGCTAAATATGTTTTAGCACCTATTCGATGCATGAAGCTAATATGCTCTAATCAATTGCATAGTATTTTCTTTACATGCTTAACTTCTGTCTACTGCATGATACGTTAGATCAATATCATCATTGAATGCGGTTAATCGAATGGTTAAATTCTGGGTACCATGCAACACACGAACCTATGATAAAATATTGATTTTCTGTGAAGGACAGCTAGTTGATCATTTTTGTGTTGATCATATTAAAATGTAACCTGCACAGTGAATTTATTTTAATATAGACCCTTCTTTGAAATGGGATCTAAAGGTAAAGAAAGAAACTTAAATAGTACAGCCTGTATTAAATAAAGTGTTTACAGTTTAAAAAAAATTACAGACGCAAAACGATAAACGTTGTTAACCTAAGTAGCTGAAAAAAGTATACAAGTTTTTAATGTTTGAAATCTCTAACTATAAATTGTTATGCAGTGGTCTAATTGACGTTTAAATAAAATATCATTACTGGGTTTTTTTTCCCTATCTACAATGATTTCTAAATTGTTTTAATACAGAGATTTCATTGCAATTGATTCCCTTGATCAAGTATACAATCAAATATGGGAAATAATTCACTCTAAATGCATTTGAAACTACTTATTGTTATTATTAGTAAATATTATTATACAAATCAAGAGTTTTTCTGACATTTTTCTCCGGTTGGTAACTTAAAATCACCGAGTAGAAGGGGTGCAATTATCAGCTTTTTAGTATTGTTTTCATCATTTTTATTGTTCTATAACTGCTGGCCTCCATGTTATTGTTCTAGAACTGTTTACCTCCATACTATGGCTCCTGCGCTAACCCTCTGTTTAAGATCTCACCAAACCATCCCTAATCAGCTTTCAATAGTTGTCTCTTCATCTAGCTCATCTTGACATTGATAAATTGATTGCAAGTCAAAACTTAAAACAAATAGTTAAATGGACCCATTTTTTTAGGATAAATAAAAAACACAGATGCTAATGTGTACTACCTTGTTTTACCACCGATCTAAAAAAAAAACATTCGTCAACTGGTCAACCCGGTGAACTCTCCTGACCCCACCTTCACAACTTGACCGTTCAGTGTGACGTCACATGACACTGGACATCGCGTCATGACATCTTTTATTGCCAGCATGTACATCTCTACGTCACCACTCTTGTAGCTTTTCAAACACAGGGACAGGGTGTCCAGATTTTTGCACGCCTGCAAACTGTGGACACACAGGTAGGGTAGGAATAACAGCATTACATCCATTGATGGTACACAGGTAGGGTAGAAATCGTAAACATTACATCAATTTATGATACACAGGTAGGGTAGAAATAACAGCATTACATCCATTGATGATACACAGGTAGGGTAGAAATAACAGCATTACATCAATTTATGATACACAGGTAGGGTAGAAATAACAGCATTACATCAATTTATGATACACAGGTAGGGTAGAAATAACAGCATTACATCCATTGATGATACACAGGTAGGGTAGCAATAACAGCATTACATCAAACAGGTAGGGTAGAAATAACAGCATTACATCCATTGATGATACACAGGTAGGGTAGAAATAACAGCATTACATCCATTGATGATACACAGGTAGGGTAGAAATCACAACATTACATCCATTGATGACACACAGGTAGGGTAGAAATAACAGCATTACATACATTAATGATACACAGGTAGGGTAGAAATACCAGCACTACATCCATTTATGATACACAGGTAGGGTAGAAATAACAGCATTACATCATTTTATGATACACAGGTAGGGTAGAAATATCAACATTACATCCATTGATGACACGCAGGTAGTTTAGAAATAACAGCATTACATCCATTGATGATACACAGGTAGGGTAGAAATAACAGCACTACATCCATTGATGATACACAGGTAGGGTAGAAATAACAGCATTACATCCATTGATGATACACAGGTAGGGTAGAAATAACAGCATTACATCCATTGATGATACACAGGTAGGGTAGAAATAACAACATTACATCCATTAATGATACACAGGTAGGGTAGAAATAACAGCATTACATCCATTAATGATACACAGGTAGGGTAGAAATACCAGCATTACATCCATTTATGATACACAGGTAGGGTAGAATTAACAGCATTACATCACACAGGTAGGGTAGAAATAACAGCATTACATCCATTGATGATACACAGGTAGGGTAGAAATAACAGCATTACATCCATTGATGATACACAGGTAGGGTAGAAATAACAGCATTACATCCATTGATGATACACAGGTAGGGTAGAAATAACAGCATTACATCCATTGATGACACACATCATAAAGGCACACCGTACTTAACAGTTGAGCATTGTGCTGACTACACCATATGCCGGGCTCAAGATACATACAAACTGTAGTTCATCGACCCTATAGTTCGTTAGGTCTAAAAGGGGGGCTTTACAACTTTATCTGTGAGTTGCAACATACCAACTCTCCCGCCACTTATCAGTGATAAGAAATAAAGAAATATAAAATTGGTTTCATTGATTTAGAAAACATCAAATATACAAAAAGACATACAATGACTAGAATGTAAGCATATCATCTTGCTACAGCTTAGGCGATGTGTTTAACTCCTTACAAACAGGGCCGGCGCTACCTATAAGGCGAACTAGGCGGTCGCCTTGGGCGCTGGCCGTAAGGGGGCGCTAAAATGGGTTGGAAAAACAAATTGAAAGTTTGAAGGGGGGGGGGGGGGTTGCAAATCGAAAGTTTGTCCCCGGGGACACAAAAAAATGCGTGGGGGGGGTGCGCTTTTAATAAGTTTTGTCTCCGGCACTACTTACAACTCAAACAACTAATGTGGTTTAGCCAAAAAAATCTATTTTAAAAGCCTCAAAACACAGAAGAGCAAAGCTCACCTACCTTTTGAACACAAGCTCAAAGCGTTCCGTGTCAGGGCGGACACCCGTCTGTAGATGAAGGTGGTGTATGGTATTCTGTAAACACAGACCAATTATATGATTATAATCATGAGTTTTTGTATTCAAGATTCATAAGCGTCAACTAGCCTACCTGAAAGTTCTGTATCTACTTTTTGCATACTACCGGGTCCCTCTCATCCCTCTCACCTGAAAGTTCTGTGCCACATGTTGAAAGAACTTCTCTAAGTTCTCTTTAGCGATGGCGGCACCAGCTTTCCACTTGACTTGATAGAGCGGCATGGATGGTGTGAGTATCAATGTTGGGTCTTGGGAGTACGACTCCTGCATGGAATAAGGTTCAAATTAATTTGCAATTCTATATAGAATTATGTCTGATCCTCTTGGAAATAATACATTGTTACTCAGTGTAATAAATAAATAAAATAATAAATTCAACGTGAGCAGTTTGTTGAGCTACTGCAGTAAAAGCGGATGTGTGCAGAGGCGTAGCTAGGGGGGCGGGGGGGGGGGGGGACATATGTGTTGGGTTGGAAAAACAAATTGAAAAGTTTGAGGGGGTGTTTGTAAATCAAAAGTTAGGGGGAGGGGGTGCAAATCGAACGTTTGTCCCCGGCCGCCGGGAAGGGTCGCTACGCCTCTGTATGTGTGTTAAAACTGTTAGCAGACAGACACAACTTTTAGGTTAATATCAAAAGTAAACTGATGTTAATATTTCCTGTCTTTCTTTTTTTTTTAGTGTTTATTAAAAATTGTTATACTGAAGGTTTGTAAAATCTTGTTATACTGAAGGATTTTATGCATTTTTAAAACATCAGCTCACAAATTTGTGCTTGATGTGAAAAATCGCTTTTAGCTCAGGACATGCCGCTGTAAGCTTCTCCCATGCTAGAGCGGTAATTTGACTTTCTAACTCTGGGATTTCATCAGCTCGAACTGTGATCAACTTGAGGCTGGTTGTTGTATTAGCCAGGCTGAGTAGCAGGTCATCTTCCAGATAACCATAGCTGAGGTCAAGGTCTGAAAGTCACAAGGCCTCTCGTTATGTGGCATATGGTAAACACACGAGAAGAACATACGAAACTAAATATTACGGTTATATAGAGTCAGTCTTTTGAGAACTAGGCGCTGTGTTGTCAAGGTCTTGTTAGAGTTAGGTGGTCAAGGTCTTGCAAGATATAGATGGTCAAGATCGAATCAGAGCTTAGTGGTTAAAATCTGTTCAGAGTTAAGATGTGTATTGTTAAGGTCTTGTTAGAGTTGCGTTGTAAGAGTCTGGTCTGAGTTAGTGAGTCAAGATCTTATCAGCATTGGGTGGTATTGTTAGAGTTGGATGGTCAAGGTACTTTTAAAACGGAATGAACTGCTACATTGAGAAGTGTTTGTCTACTCTCCAGACTAAATAGCGATTAATGAACACGAGATATAATCGGAGTTTACTTCCATGTACATTTATAAGCACCATCATAAGCCATCACACTTATTCATAGGAGAATAAAAGATTGATTATTCATTACACTAATAATAATAGTTATTTACTTAAAATGTGCAAGACTAGAAAAAAATATTAATTCATGTAACTATAAAAATGACGTAATTCATCCCACCTGATAACTTGCTGAAACCAGAGATGGCGTTTCGAAATTGCGGAAGATAGCTCATGCTATTATGGAAACTACTTTTCAAGCTAACGAGCCTGGCGATAGCAAGGGTATGTAGCGTGGTGCCGCAGTATTTGCCAGCTGCTATCAGCAATTTCATGCCTTGGGATATATAAATAAAGTTTCTACTTATTGTTTATTTATGTTAGACGATACATGAGCATGTTTTTGTTTTGATTATCTGATACATTAGCATGTATTTGTTTTGATTATCTGAAACATTAGCATGTATTTGTTTAGATTATCTGATACATTAGCATGTATTTGTTTTGATTATCTGATACATTAGCATGTATTTGTTTTTTGATTATCTGAAACATTAGCATGTTTTTGTTTTGATTATCTGATACATTAGCATGTATTTGTTTTGATTATCTGAAACATTAGCATGTTTTTGTTTTGATTATCTGATACATTAGCATGTATTTGTTTTGATTATCTGAAACATTAGCATGTATTTGTTTTGATTATCTGATACATTAGCAGTATAAAAATTTCACAAGTAATTGACCCCACTGAGCCACAATCGGGTCAACTTAAAGACAAACCTTGTTACATTTATGCAGTGGCGTAGCGAGGTCGGGTGTCACCCGGTGCGGCACTTAATGGTGTCACCCCCCCCCCCCTCATATTTTCGATTTGCACCCCCCCCCCCCTCAAACTTTCAATTTGCACCCCCCCCCCCTCAAGTTTTTCTCTATATTTTGCTATTTTTTGCATTGGTGTCACCCCCCTAAATGGTGTCACCCGGTGCGGTCCGCACCACACGCCCCCCCCCCCTCGCTACGCCTCTGCATTTATGTAATTGAACTGTCTTGTAGACACCCAACGTCTCGCCGTCTATCCCGCCCCTCGTGTTGTTTCTATTGACACATCTCTCTAAGCCCAACATAAACGGTCTATAAATTCCTGTAAGCCCACCACTCAAGGCCCGATGTTAGACTGTCCTAACTAACCTTGCCTCACGGTAAGAATTTCCTTGAAACAGAACCTCACAGACTTTTCGCTATTGCTAAGGTCAAGGACACGAAGCTGTCGCTGGACTTTCAAGAATCTCTTCAGGAGTTTAGCGACCTCAGACAACGGCGTTGACCTTTCCCCACCGCAATACGTTTCCAAACTGCTCAGATTTTTCAGTCTGAAGGTCAACAGCTGGTGATTCTCTGAATTCAAAAGGCTGGCTAAAAACAGATACATCTTCTCTGAACAAGATGGGTGGTATTCCAATACTATTCAAAGCAAGAAAATTTACATGTGATTTACTCATGAAACTACACTAGTAATTTACTCATGAATGTACACAAGTAATTTACTCATGAAATTAGATATGTAATTTACTCATGAAATTACAAACGTAATTTACTCATGAAATTACACAATTAATTTACGCATAAAAGTACACGTGTAATTTACGCATGAAATTACACATGTAATATACTCTTAATATACATACACATACATTTTTACTATACTCTGTGTGACTTACCCAATTGAAGATTTTCAAGTTTTTTACATTCTACCTTAATATGACGTAATGTTTTGCCGGTGATGTCAACAAACCGGATGGCCTTTTCGTCGCTTTTACAGTCAAAAACAAAATCTCCGGACTGCCACAGGGACGGCACTGAGAGTGGGCGGAGCCAGGACTTGCAGGTGAGGGCGGCGTGGTACTTGTCGCTGTTGCTAAGGTAACTGAAGACTTGCAGCAGAATCTCGTTCGGCAGCTGGCTCCAGTCAGGCTGAAATTGTATTAAACAAGTTGCCTGGTAGACACCAGAGGCGTAGCGACCTTGTAAATCAAGTGATATTTTAGAACATCTTGTGGGTATAATAGACTCCCAACCTTTACTCTCCCTTTCATTGCACCTCTATATATTACTTCAACAACACCAATGAAATCTTGCTTGTGCTTGAAACTACCAATAAATTTGGTGTGATCAGGTGTTCCCCAATCAACCTTAATATGTTGACTGTTGAAAAAAAAGATTGTGGAAGTTATGAGGAATATATCAAAGTACTGTGTGTAGATGGCCACTTTATCCACTTCCACTTAGCATATTTCTGCTATGTTAGCCAAGTCATCTGCAGTTTTTGAGAGAATGTCATATAGTTGTAAACAGCTAGCATCTGTGTGTCTCACAAATCTCTATACCTGAACCACATCTTTAGTTTTACGTATGACTTTGTCAACTTCTTCTTTTTAGATGATAATGTTGTAAGCAAGTAACTCATCTTAGAGGACTTTAAACATCCAATAATATAACCTTGTTGAGACTGCACAGTTTAGGTCTTCAGACTGAACTTAGGTTGTCATAGGACACTATAGGACGTGAGTATAGGACACTATAGGACGTGAGTATAGGACACTATGGGACGTGTCTTGGTAAGACCTTAGTTTAGCGTCTTAAATTCAAACGAAACTAGTTATATGCGGTAGAGGTAACTAATGAATATTTCTTTCATTTGGCCATATGTATGACATATTTTACATAATATAACAGATAATTGATTAATAAATCACAATCCATGACCAAACCAGTCAAAAACATCCTGGAATAAGCTTTAAACTACCATGTTCGAGACAACAATAAGTAAATACAAGCAGCGGCCATGTTTAAAAACAATAATAGAGTAGTTTCCCTTGAAAAATTGTCTATTCGCATATCTGTTGTGTTGATTTTATGGTTTAACATGAATTTTTATTTTTATTATATATGCCTGTATTGTAATTTTTCTTTTTTTAATATGGTTGAAATGAATGACTAATAGACCTTTTCAGACTTAATAGTGTGCATCCAAGACCACAACAATTGAGTGGAGGTCGAACTTTTGAACACTTTTTTTTATGCAGTAATCAAAATATTAATCAACATTAGATCGCAAATAAATGATGTCGATCTTACTGGGTTAATATAGTTATGACAGCGGGCACTATTACAGAACAAATATAGTGATGAACCTATTGTTTCAGATAGAAATTGTGATTTGTGGTGGGGACAGGTTGGGTAGAATTCATGCGATGTGATTTTGAGACGGGTCAAGAAATGTAATTAGCATGCTGAGTCGCATTTCTTGAAACCAACCGTTTTATCCCCCACTTAGCACATGGTCACCGAGTTAACGCTCGCGCGTGACGCATGTACCGGTACCGCCGACTGTTTGGCTAATTATATGGGAAAAAACAAGCACTGCCGTTTTGACACTTATGCGACGTTTAATTTGATTACTTATGTTGGTGTTCAATTAAACAGCCCCTCACACATCTATCCCTCGTCCATTTAAACATACGTGGTTATTTCTGCAAGCTTGCTGTCTTGAGACTTTCGGCCCTTTAAAAACTTTTAAGCTCTCACCGTATAGAACTAGACTACCCATATTAAGCTCCAAAAGAAATTTGGTGAAAACAGGATGGCCGTCCGATTTTGAAGCTGCTCTGCGCTTTATTAAAGCACAATGGACGATAAGAAGACACTTATTTTAAGTAAATTATTGATCTAAATCTTGATACATTAAAAGTGATATTCGAAAATTAAGAGCTGTGTATTAGGCCAGACAGTCAACATGATATTTAAATTTAAGTCCAAAAAACTGTCCTCAAAAGATGTAACATTACTAAATTTTTGGGCAGTTTCGCGCTATTGAATTAAAGTACGTCATCTCACAGAGTGCGATAGCCTACTGGTGCTCTAACGCGGCCCCATGCTTATGGCCGTATTCCTAACGCACCGGATTATGACTTGTCGTGACATTGACAACGAAATATGATGGAGGTTGGGGTTTAATTAAGGTAAAGAGAAGTAAAAAAAACTGTCATAATTTAAGATAGAATCACTAAAGGGAAAAAAACAACCTAAAATGAAAATAGCGAACACTCAAACAATAATTTAAAAAACTCAAACTGTAAGCCTATAGATCAAGTAATGAACAAATAAACATTATATCTAGCACAAAAGTGATTTTATACATAGATACAAGTTGCATCTCACAATAGTTCTAGAATTGATGGTGTTGTTTGTTAGTAATTTCAGTTTTTAAATGGCAGAATTTTAAACAAAATGCTTTGTAGGCTTATACAAATACAAGACAATCATATTTAAAATCCATTTCCATACGAATAGAAATGGAAGGGAAGCTACTCTAAATAATATTTACTATAAGTTACTATCTCGAACAGGGTTGATAAAAATTCATTTCAGGATATTTAAATTGATTTAACCATCAATGATGATCTATTATTAATTATCTATAATATTTTATTAAAATATACAAAAATAAACTCATATTTAAAGCCAGATTCATTAATTCTAAATAATTAACTCTCTCCCACATTACTTAAGTTGTTTTAGCCGAATTCACGACGCTACACTAAGGTTTTACCCGTGGCTTTACCTGTGTAGTCCCACCCATGACAAAATCTACAGCTGCCTGTTTGAGACTGCTTAAATAAAATGCCATGGTAATCTAGAGGGTTGGTGCAGTTTTCTTTATCTGGTTTAGTTAAAGATGAATTTTTATAAATATTTACAGTCGCGCCATTTTGTTTACAGGATGTTGAAATTGTTGCGCTACACAAGTTTTGATGACGTTTATTGAATGATTTCAATGAAAGCACTTTGACATCTTAAACTTCAATGAACTCGAGCGAAAAAAGTCTCAAATGTATACCAGAGGCCCATTAAATATTTTTAAAATCATGCGCGGCTTAGTTATAATTAAAATGGTTTTAAAATCATGTCTGTTTTTTTCGGACTTTACTAAAGATTGGATGTATTTTTTAAAAAATATTTTATGTAACTAAATAAAAAGTAAAAGAAAATTAAAGACAATTTGGTTTTCACGTGTAATGGCGACATAAACAATGGCATCCTGCTATTCGATAGGCTAGCATACATTTTATTGTGCAAATTGAAAGCGAAAAAAGGAGACCTGTGTCATTAGGTTTAAATTAGCATCGTTAATTAGAAACTATATCTATATCTGCAAAGTTTAGTAAATAAAAAAAAAAATTGATTTGGGACCAATCAATATATGTCTTACGAAAGTGAAACATCCGGTTATAATTTAGGCTTGATGAAAATAATTAGAAATTACTTTCAAGTTCTCTTGATTTACAACTGTTATAACATTGATTCTAAAAACTTTAACTTTCCGAATAATTTATAGGCTTAAGTTTTTATGTTTTATTATTTTTATGATCGCTTTGATTGCAAAATCTTAAAAAAAAGCTCGTTTTTATTACATGTCAACAATATGATGGAAGGTTTCTCGACAACTCAGTCCCCCCATTTGAATTCTCTAATGATTTTGGAGGTTATTAGATTAGGATAATTACATCTGTCTATTTTATTACATTTTTACGAAATTTTTAGGTGTTTGATAATGATTCCTGCATTTATTTCCTTCACAATATAATTAACTTCTTTAATCTGTTTATTTCTTTGGGTCGGAGTTGACGAGCGATATTTTGACCACTTCTACCAGAACGATTGCATTCAATCAGTGGGTCAGGACTTGGCGACAATGCAATTGTTTGAATAGGATTAATTAATTAATTTTTATAGATAGATTAAAATAATATTTCCTTCTGAAGTAATGATGTTTATCGCGCTATCATTACTTTTAAAACAAAAACGAATAACTGTGCGTTTATGTGACTATATTTAGTCATGCAGTTCTAGTCTAGTAGAAATCTTGAATTATTGAGTTTTGTAACCAATACTAGTGTTACCTGCCAACGTGCATTTATCAGGATCTAATTTGGTTGCACGTGATGTGGGTCCGCAAGTTTTTATATTCTGTTTTCCTTTAATTATTACCGGTCTTTCCATGTCATGTGACCTCTGGGAGATCTATGTAGGGGAATTTTGACTTGCACAAAGGCAGTATAACCTATTGTGTCGTGAGATCAAGACTAGCAAGACGGCAATATAACCTAATGTGTCGTGAGATCAAGACTTGCACGACGGCAATTTAACCTAATGTGTCGTGAGATAAAGACTTGCACGACGGCAATATAAGCTAATGTGTCGTGAGTTTTAAGACTAGCAAGACGGCACGGCAGTATAACCTAATGTGTCGTGAGATCAAGACTTGCATGACGGCAATATAACCTAATGTGTCGTGAGATCAAGACTTGCACGACTGCAGTATAACCTAATGTGTCGTGAGATCAAGACTTGTAAGACGGCAGTATAACCTAATGTGTCGTGAGATCAAGACTTGCACGACGGCAGTATAACCTAATGTGTCGTGAGATCAAGTCTTGCACGACGGCAATATAACCTAATGTGTCGTGAAATCAAGACTTTTAAGACGGCAGTATAACCTAATGTGTCGTGAGATCAAGACTTGTAAGACGGCAATATAACCTAATGTGTCGTGAAATCAAGACTTTTAAGACGGCAGTATAACCTAATGTGTTGTGAGATCAAGACTTGCAAGACGGCAATATAACCTAATGTGTCGTGAGATCAAGACTTGCACGACGGCAGTATAACCTAATGTGTCGTGAGATCAAGACTTGCAAGACGGCAGTATAACCTAATGAGTCGTGAGATCAAGACTTGCAAGACGGCAGTATAACCTAATGTGTCGTGAGATCAAGACTTGCACGACGGCAGTATAACCTAATGTGTCGTGAAATCAAGATTTTTAAGACGGCAGTATAACCTAATGTGTCGTGAAATCAAGACTTTTAAGACGGCAGTATAACCTAATGCGTCTTGATATCAAGACTTGCAAGACGGCAATATAACCTAATGTGCCGTGAAATCAAGACTTGTAAGACGGCTGTATAACCTAATGTGTCGTAAGATGAAGACTTTTAAGACTGCAGTATAACCTAATATGTCGTGAGATCAAGACTTGCAAGACGGCAGTATAACCTAATGTGTCGTGAGATCAAGACTTGCACGACGGCAATCTATATACTACTAAAAGTCAAGTTTGTTTACATGTTTGAATATTTTTTTTTGTTTGTTTGTTTGTTTGCCTGATTGACTATTGCTCATGGTTGCACTCATCGTGGAAAGCTGTAAAATAGTATGTTGGTAGAGAAAATTTTTTGTTTTAAGACAGACTGTTAATCACAAATTTATTTAAAGATGTTAATTAATTTATTGATTTATTCATACGCAGAGTAACCCATTTTTTTTAAAAGTTTAGAACGACCACTACACTCGGCGGGACCGTGACGTCACAGTTTTTTGTTTACTCTTTAGTACAATAAAATGGCGGCGTCTATCGAAGAAAATTGTGTTCCCATTCCAAAGTTTAACGCGTTCTAAATCTAATTTTCTGTTGGTCATAACTTTAACAATACGTCCGTTTGCTGTATTTATTACGTTCCAACACTTATATCAATTTTAAACTGTCTTTTTTCATTTAGTTTTACAATTAAATTTCTCTAGATCTAAAGATCAGCTGTCGAAGGAAAGTTATGAATCTAGCCTAGATCTAGATCTAGCCTAGATGTAGGTCACTAGACTCAATGTAAATTCTAGATCTAGGCTTAATGTAAATTCTACATCTAGAATCTATTTCAGGCCTTAATACATCTAGAATCTATTTCAGGCCTTAATTATTTTATATAAATCTTTGTTTGGCTAATTTAAGATAAAATTTAATTTGAAAGTTACTAGATTCTACTACTAGACTTAGATCTAGATCTATGCGCGGAGACTCAAAAGTATAGTATAAAAATTCTATTGTGACGTCACGAGTAAATAGATAAGTTTGTAGCGTAGTCCGCTCCCATGCGGGTGGTACAGGTTCTAGACCAATATGTCAATGATATTTTTTTTCAATTTTTTTTTTTTTATAGATGTGAATGATAAAGTTGCCTATCTGAACTTGGCAGGATACAGGGCAGGTGAAGTAGAGTTCATCTGTTTCTTTGTCCTAAGCATATGAAAGGATAGTGTGGTCAGAGACATGCTCGGCTGGAATCGTTTTTTAAACGATAAAAACATGTTGTCTGAGACTTGGCGGGACACTGGGCAGGTGAAGTAGAGTTGAGTAGGTCACATGTGACGTCAGTATAAGAAGTAATAGTCCGAAATCGGTGTTTTCGGTGTTTTTAAAAGATCAGAAACATATTTTTGAATGCGTTGTCTGTTTTTGTGACGATAAGTAACACTGCAGTAGCGTAGCGAGGAGGGGGGGGGGGCGGGAGGGGAGGGGAGGCGGGGGGGGGGGGGGAAGGGGAGGCGGGGGGAGGTGGAGGGGGGAAGGGGGGGGGGGCGGGGGGGACATATGTTGGGGCGCCAAAATGGTTTGGAAAAATAAATTGAAAGGTTGAGGGGGGTTCAAATCGAAAGTTTGAGTGGGGGGGGGTGCACATCAAAGGTTTGAGGGGGCGGGGGGGGGGGTGGGGGGTTGAAAATCGAAATCTTGGGGGGGGGGGTTAAAATCGAAAAGTTTGTCCCCGGGCGCCGGGAAGGGTCGCTATGCCTCTGAGTGACAGACGTGATGTTTTTTGATGGATGACCCCCGAAACCCTCAGTTATCCAACGGATGACGGGTATTCTAGTATACTACTAAAAGTCAAGTTTGTTTACATGTTTGAATATTTATTTGTTTGTTTTTTTGTTTGCCTGATTGACTATTGCTCATGGTTGCACTCATCGTGGAAAGCTGTAAAATAGTATGTAGGTAGAGAAAAAATTTTGTTTTAAGACAGACTGTTAATCACAAATTTATTTAAAGACGTTAATTGATTTATTGATTTATTCATTGTTAAATTAACCGTATTTTTTTAAAAATGTTAATACTTTGAATAAACTTTGTGGGGATAGTGACGTCCCTTGATGTGTTTACTTTTTTGGTACAATAAAAATGGCGGACTCCATCATAGACTTTGTGGCCCATTCAAAAGTTTAACGCGTTACAAAGCTAATTTTCTGCCGGCTATAACTTAAACAATACGTCCGTTTGCTGTATTTATTACGTTCCAACACTTATATCAATTTTCAACTGTCTTTTTCATTTAGTTTTACGATAAATTTCTCTAGATCTAAAGATCAGCTGCCGAAGGAAAGTTATGAAGCTAGCCTAGATCTAGATCTATCTAGATCTAGCCTAGATGTAGGTAACTAGACTCAATGTAAATTCTAGATCTAGACTTAATGTAAATTCTACATCTAGAATCTATTTCAGGCCTTAATTATTTTATATAAATCTTTGTTTGGCTAATTTAAGATAAAATTTAATTTGAAAGTTACTACTACTAGACTTAGATCTAGATCTATGCGCGGAGACTCAAAAGTATAGTATAAAAATTCACTTGTGACGTCACGAGTAAATAGCTAAGCTGGTAGCATAGTCGGCTCTCATGCAGGTGGCACGGGTTCTAGACCAATATGTCGATGAAATTTTTTTTTTCAATTTTTTTTTTTTTTTAGATGTGAATGATAAAGTTGCCTATCTGAACTTGGCAAGATACAGGGCAGGTGAAGTAGAGTTCATCTGTTTCTTTGTCCTAAGCACATGAAAGGATAGTGTGGTCAGAGACATGCTCGGCTGGAATCGTTTTT